TTGTTGTTACTGTTCTTTGATTGTGCACCTGCTGCTTGTTGGTGTTGCTCGTAGAACGACATGAAGGAGAAGAACTTCTCCATCATGCTTGGGTTGAAGCCGGTAGCTTAATTATGTTACAGACTAAGGACGGAGCCTATGAAGATTAGGGGCCGAAGTATCATAAAATTCATTAATTTTGGACAGAAACGTCGACTTCACAAGAAACGTCGTTGACAAAAACCGCACTGTAAAAAATTCATTAATTTTGAATATGTTGTAGCACTATTCTGTGGCTACAATTCCCAAGTCGAATCGTACAAAAAGATTAAGTATTTCTTGAGTTATCAAATTTTACGCACAGGGGGGTATGTTGCCATAAGAACTTAACTCAATCACAAGAGTCTCACAAGTTCACACAAAAGAATTGGAGTAGCTAGAAACCAGGTAGGAGGGGATGAAGAGGACGAGAGGGAAGGTTCCAAGGGAGTCCCCAACCTAGGAAAATCCCATGCCACACAATTCCCCTCTCTCTAGGCAACCCGAACTTTGACCTTTGTCACTTTCCCAACCTCCACAATCCACCTCACCCAAGTTGGCCACTCTTGCCAACCCAATTTGGTTTCTCCCAACCACTTGGCCGCATCTACTGTGATGGGGACGAATTTCTCAACCTCCAAAAGTCTGTACCCCTTATGGAGTCAACCCCACAACTTCCCATAGTCACCACAACCAAATATCAAAAGCATACGAACTTCCAACGTTCGTAACTTTCTTGTTCGTGCTCTGATTGAAGCGATACTTGGTTCATCAGAAAGCCCTTGAACAGAGGATTCACTTCAGATATCTGCTCAAGCCAAATAACATCCACACACACTCAAAGAATGCAAACCACAGAAAACAGAAATTCTTGCATACGCTCACACCACGCATGCAACGCACGAACATATGATGGGAGGCAGACAGACGGGAATGCAAGTGATAGCATCACATAACAAATTAGCGGGAGTTTCAGTAGCCTCAGCAGCTGGTCCTTGGGTTGTGCCTCTCTTTGTTCGTAGTCCAGAGGCTGGTGGTGGAGTAGGAGTGTTACTGGGAGATCCAGTATACAAGCTTCTCTCTTTTTGCGTAGCCATGCCTTCTATTGTCGTAGGAGCTTGAACAGAGTTGTCCTTTGTCTTGCTAGCTCTTATACCATGTTGGGCTAAGAAAGCCCTTAGGATCGTTTTCAAGACTAAAGTCACAGAGTAGCGATGTATTAGCGGAAGCGTCTTAATGAACTGATTGAACCACCTTGCATTGGTACGTGAGAACAAGATAGGTTGATAATAACAAAGAAAGACAAGCTTTTATATGATTACAAGAAATACGAAAGGTTTAACTAACTATAATTGCTGTTGCGATTCGATACAGTGACGACTCCGGTAATTGCTCAATGTCGAGTCAGTTATGTGTCCTTGCTGGCGCGCTGTCCTCGGCGAGTCAAAGGTCGTTGACCTTTGACCTTCACTCAACCTATTGATGTTGTCTTTCTGACAGGGCCTTAGATATCAGGAAAAAAACCCTGAAACCCCTAGTTATGGCAGTCCTTTTATAAATACACTGAAAAATCAGTTTTGAGATTTTTGTGGGACTGATCTTTCAGCCTTTTTTGTTAGGCCACACTGAAATTCATTACTTTTGTTTCCCAGGTACACTGATTCCACAGCGTTGTAACGAAACTAACACTGAACGCAATTCATACTTGTTCTGTGTGGATTTGCCCGCAATCACAGGGAATCTCAGATTCCTACAGTGCCAGCACTTCATTGATCAGTTACGCTGCAGCATAAAGTGATAGCTAATAAGAATGTGGCAACCATGTTGTGCTGGAGGGCTGCGAAGGTTCCTGCACCGGCAAGAACTGATGCTCCCGTTCCCTTCAACCCAATCTCTCTTGTTTCTGTTCCTCCTGTTTCTCTCTCCCTCCCTCTTAGCCCAATTCCTCTTTTGCTTTCTCGTCTGCACTAATACATGGCGCCATTAGCACCAAAAATGGCGGGCTATCCGGAATCGAACCCATCGCGAGCACCGCCGAACCTCCTCTTGTCTCACCAAACACATCGCTCCCGTTCGAGGTGATCCGCAACGCATGCTGCGAGATGGTCGTCAACCACGTGGCAATTCCAATCGACGTTGCAGGCCCGCTACGACTCGACGACGCCTCGGCAACCGAAGGTTGCCTCGTCGCCAGCACGAACCGCGGTTGAAAGGCTATCTGCGCCGCGGGCGGCGCGCAGAGCGTCGTGCTGCGCGACGGCATGACCTGTCCATCCCCCCGCTCCCTTTACGTCGCACTTTGTGCACTCCCTCTCTCCCCCGGTCGTCTCCCCCCCAACCGTGCCAGTCTTCCCTCCTCTCTCCCCACTGCTCTCTCTTTCTCTGCCTCACCCTGCCTTTCAATCCGGTTCCTCCCCCAAACCCTGCCCCTGCAGCTTCAACGTGTATGTGTCGCAAGCAGAAGTGAAGCCGGGGTGTGTGCTGCGGTAGAGCATTGTCACGTACTGGTGTCCCAAGTTGAGGAGGAGAGAGATGAACCAAAGGCTAAGGGTAGTGATGATAACACGGCTGGTGATGATTGATGCGGCATGTTAGCATAGCAATGTTTCGGAAGGCTGGTACTGACGTAGTATTTAAAATAGAGATTTCTAATAATAACAGCCTTCAATATTATTGATCACTGATGCATCAGCCTTTTTTCAAAGGCAACCCTGATATTTCAGGCTTTACTTTTTAGGAACAATGTCAATCAGGGTTTCTACACAGGGGTACCCTGATCGGTAGACGACCCTAAAAGTAAATCTAAGGCCCTGCTTTCTGTCAACCGCTTTGGTTGACTCGCTGTTGCTTCGCTTTAGTTCGCTTCGCTTTCGTTGTAGTGCTCGACACGTCAGAAGCACGAACTATATGGTTACAACAATTTATGTGTGCTTGCCGGCCCAAGTTAGCAACAGGGTGCATTTGATGGACAATAATCTGGTGTGAGAGTAGATGATTTACAGCCGCATAACGCGACAAAGATTTTGTACATGCACATGTACTTCAGAATTGTATTGGGACATTGCGTTATCGAGCTAAAATGGGTGGCTTGACCCATTGACACATCTGCGAGCCCATGCGCGGTTCGGTCTGGAGTGATTCTTTTTTTTTGGTTTGCTCTTCTCTGATGAGGTCGAGGAAAAAGGTACTAGCTCCTTGTATCCTTGCCTTTTGTGACCTTCAGTGCTCAGAGCAAGTCATCCCTAACCTTCCTCCACCGTGGTGAGCATGATGTTTGGCGATATTGGATGCTACTTTTGCTGGTCGTAATCAATCAAATGAATCACTCCAAACTGCATAAGGCGGTTTGTTTCTCCTTTTCTTTTTTTGGGTCCTTCTAGTGAAAATGGACATTTCTACTATAGTGTTTGACAATGGATCCAGTTCAGTGAAGGTGAGTAGCATAGGCATTGTGAGATCTATAGTCTCCTCGCGATTTCGCTTTACTGCACTGTGAGCCTTATATTCCAGGCTGGATTTGCTGGAGAGGAGGCGCCGCGTAATGAAGTTGGTGGAGGAATAGAAGAGAAGGACGGTGCTTACGTTGGTAATGAAGCCGTGTTCAAGCGTGAAGTCGTGACGTTGAAGTATCCTATTGAACGCGATGAGATTAAAATGGCTGGTACATGGAGTACACACAATTTATCTATCTTCTCGCTTACCTTCGCACGCGTTGTGACCAGGTATTGTGACGAACTGGGACCGCATGGAAATTAACTGGAACCACACCTTTCTCAATGAGCTTCATGTCGATCCGGAGGATAATCCGGTTCTCATGACTGAATCTCCTTTGAATCCCGAGGCAAATCGCGAGAAGATGGCTCAGATTATGTTTGAGACTTTTAACCTGCCAGCAATGTATGTCACCATTCAGGCCGTGCTCTCCCTTTTCACAAGCTGTCGTGTCACAGGTAAGACTTGGCTTGTTTCTCCGCGCAGTCGAATCTGCAATGTGTTTCTTCTGCTAATCTCCTCTTTGGTTTCAAGTATTGTTTTGAACTCCGGTGATGGCGTGACGCATGCTGTCCCCATCGTCGAGGGGAATGCTTTATCGCACGCGATTTACCATTTGGATCTTGCTGGTGCGGAAAAATCTGAGTTCGGAGGGATCTGAGTGCGGAGGGATCTGAGTGCAGAGGGATCTGAGTGCAGAGGAATCTGAGTGCGGAGGGATTTTAGTGCGGAGGGATCTGAGTGCGGAGGGATCTGAGTGCGGAGGAATCTGAGTACGGAGGGATCTGAGGTCAGAAAGATCTGAGTGCAGAGGGATCTGAGTGCAGAGGGATCTGAGTGCGGAGGGATCTGAGTGCAGAGGGATCTTAGTGCAGAGGGATCTGAGTGCGGAGGGATCTGAGTGCAGAGGGATCTGAGTGCAGAAGGATCTGAGTGCAGAAGGATCTGAGTGCGGAGGGATCTGAGTGCGGAGGGATCTGAGTGCGGAGGGATCTGAGTACGGAGGGATCTGAGTGCAGAGGGATCTGAGTGCGGAGGGATCTGAGTGCGGAGGGATCTGCGTGCGGAGGGATCTGAGTGCGGAGGGATCTGAGTGCGGAGAAATCTGAGTTCGGAGGGATCTGAGTTCGGAGGGATCTGAGTGCAGAGGGATCTGAGTGTGGAGGAATCTGAGTGCGGAGGGATCTTAGTGCGGAGGGATCTGAGTGCGGAGGGATCTGAGTGCGGAGGAATCTGAGTACGGACGGATCTGAGGTCAGAGGGATCTGAGTGCAGAGGGATCTGAGTGCGGAGGGATCTGAGTGCGGAGGGATCTTTGTGCGGACGGATCTGAGTGCAGAGGGATCTGAGTGCGGAGGGATCTGAGTGCAGAAGGATCTGAGTGCAGAGGGATCTGAGTGCGGAGGAATCTGAGTGCGGAGGGATCTGAGTGCGGAGGAATCTGAGTGCGGAGGGATCTGAGTGCGGATGGATCTGAGTGCAGAGGAATCTTAGTGCAGAGAAATCTGAGTGCAGAGGGATCTGAGTGCAGAGTGATCTGAGTGCGGAGGAATCTGAGTGCGGAGGGATCTGAATGCAGAGGGATCTGAGTGCGGAGGGATCTGAGTGCGGAGGGATCTGAGTGCGGAGGGATCTGAGTGCGGAGAAATCTGAGTGCGGAGGGATCTGAGTGCGGAGAAATCTGAGTGCGGAGGGATCTGAGTGCGGAGGGATCTGAGTGTGGAGGGATCTGAGTGCAGAGGGATCTGAGTGCGGAGGAATCTGAGTGCGGAGGGATCCGAGTGCGGAGGGATCTGAGTGCAGAGGGATCTGAGTGCAGAGGGATCTGAGTGCGGAGGGATCTGAATGCGGAGGGATCTTAGTGCGGAGGGATCTGAGTGCGGAGGGATCTGAGTGCGGAGGAATCTGAGTGCGGAGGGATCTGAGTGCAGAGGGATCTGAGTGCAGAGTGATGAGAGTGCGGAGGAATCTGAGTGCGGAGGGATCTGAATGCAGAGGGATCTGAGTGCGGAGGGATCTGAGTGCGGAGGGATCTGAGTGCGGAGGGATCTGAGTACGGAGGGATCTGAGTGCGGAGGGATCTGAGTGCGGAGAAATCTGAGTGCGGAGGGATCTGAGTGCGGAGGGATCTGAGTGCGGAGGGATCTGAGTGCGGAGGAATCTGAGTGCGGAGGAATCTGAGTGCGGAGGAATCCGAGTGCGGAGGGATCTGAGTGCAGAGGGATCTGAGTGCAGAGGGATCTGAGTGCGGAGGGATCTGAGTGCGGAGGGATCTGAGTACGGAGGGATCTGAGTGCAGAGGGATCTGAGTGCGGAGGAATCTGAGTGCAGAGGGATCTGAGTGCGGAGGAATCTGAGTGCGGAGAGATTTGAGTGCGGAAGAATCTGAGTGCGGAGGGATCTGAGTGCGGATGGATCTGAGTGCGGAGGGATCTGAGTGCGGAGGGATCTGAGTGCGGAGGAATCTGAGTACGGAGGGATCTGAATGCAGAGGGATCTGAGTGCAGAGGGATCTGAGTGCGGAGGGATCTGAGTGCGGAGGGATCTGAGTGGAGACGGATCTGAGAGCGGAGGGATCTGAGTGCGGAGGGATCTGAGTGCGGAGGGATCTGAGTGCGAAGGGATCTGAGTGCGAAGGGATCTGGGTGCAGAGGGATCTGAGTGCAGAGGGATCTGAGTGCAGAGGGATCTGAGTGCGGAGGGATCTGAGTACGGAGGGATCTGAGTGCGGAGAGATCTGAGTGCAAAGGTATCTGAGTGCGGAGGGATCTGAGTGCGAAGGGATCTGAGTGCGGAGGGATCTGAGTGCGGAGGGATCTGAGTGCAGAGGGATCTGAGTGCAGAGGGATCTGAGTGCGGAGGGATCTGAGTGCGGAGGGATCTGAGTGCAGAGGGATCTGAGTGCAGAGGGATCTGAGTGCAGAGGGATCTGAGTGCAGAGTGATCTGAGTGCGGAGGGATCTGAGTGCGGAGGGATCTGAGTGCAGAGGGATCTGAGTGCAGAGGGATCTGAGTGCAGAGGGATCTGAGTGCAGAGTGATCTGAGTGCGGAGGGATCTGAGTCCGGAGGGATCTGAGTGCGGAGGGATCTGAGTGCGGAGGGATCTGAGTGCGGAGGGGTCTGAGTGCGGAGGGATCTGAGTGCAGAGGGATCTGAGTGCGGAGGAATCTGAGTGGGGAGGAATCTGAGTGCGGACGAATCTGAGTGCGGAGGGATCTGAGTGCGGAGGGATCTGAGTGCAGAGGGATCTGAGTGCGGAGGGATCTGAGTGCGGAGGGATTTGAGTGCGGAGGGATCTGAGTGCAGAGGGATATGAGTGCGGAGGGATCTGAGTGCGGAGAGATCTGTGTGCGGAGGGATCTGAGTGTGGAGGGGTCTGAGTGTAGAGGGATCTAGGTGCGAAGGAATCTGAGTGCGGAGGAATCTGAGTGCGGAGAGATCTGAGTGCAGAGGGATCTGAGTGCGGAGGGATATGAGTGCGGAGGGATCTGAGTGCAGAGGGATCTAGGTGCGGAGGGATCTGAGTGCAGATGGATCTGAGTGCAGAGGGATCTGAGTGCAGAGGGATCTGAGTGCAGAGGGATCTGAGTACAGAGGGATCTGAGTGTAGAGGGATCTGACTGCGGAGGGATCTGAGTGCAGAGGGATCTGAGTGCAGAGGGATCTGAGTGCAGAAGGATCTGAGTGCGGAGGGATCTGAGTGCGGAGGGATCTGAGTACGGAGGGATCTGAGTGCAGAGGGATCTGAGTGCAGAGGGATCTGAGTGCCGAGGGATCTGAGTGCAGAGGGATCTGAGTGCAGAGGGATCTGAGTGCAGAAGGATCTGAGTGCGGAGGGATCTGAGTGCGGAGGGATCTGAGTGCGGAGGGATCTGAGTGCTGAGGGATCTGAGTGCAGAGGGATCTGAGTGCAGAGGGATCTGAGTGCAGAAGGATCTGAGTGCGGAGGGATCTGAGTGCGGAGGGATCTGAGTGCGGAGGGATCTGAGTGCGAAGGGGTCTGAGTGCGGAGGGATCTGAGTGCAGAGGGATCTGAGTGCGGAGGAATCTGAGTGAGGAAGAATCTGAGTGCGGAGGAATCTGAGTGCGGAGGGATCTGAGTGTGGAGGGATCTTAGTGCGGAGGGATCTGAGTGCGAAGGGATCTGAGTGCGGAGGGATCTGAGTGCGGAGGGATCTGAGTGCAGAGGGATATGAGTGCGGAGGGATCTGAGTGCGGAGGGATCTTAGTGCGGAGGGATCTGAGTGTGGAGGGGTCTGAGTGCAGAGGGATCTAGGTGCGGAGGAATCTGAGTGCGGAGGAATCTGAGTGCGGAGGGATCTGAGTGCGGAGGAATCTGAGTGCGGAGGGATCTGAGTGTGGAGGGATCTGAGTGCAGAGGGATCTAGGTGCGGAGGGTTCTGAGTGCAGGAGGAACTGAGTGCAGAGGGATCTGAGTGCAGAGGGATCTGATTGCAGAGGGATCTGAGTGCAGAGGGATCTGAGTGTAGAGGGATCTGAGTGCGAAGGGATCTGAGTGCAGAGGGATCTGAGTGTAGAGGGATCTGAGTGCAGAAGGATTTGAGTGCGGAGGGATCTGAGTGCGGAGGGATCTGAGTACGGAGGGATCTGAGTGCAGAGGGATCTGAGTGCAGAGCGATCTGAGTGCCGAGGGATCTGAGTGCAGAGGGATCTGAGTGCAGAGGGATCTGAGTGCAGAAGGAGTTGAGTGCAGAGTGATCTGAGTGCGGAGGGATCTGAGTGCGGAGGAATCTGAGTGCGGAGGGATCTTAGTGCGGAAGGATCTGAGTGCGGAGGATTCTGAGTGCAGAGGGATCTGTGTGCAGAGTGATCTGAGTGCGGAGGAATCTGAGTGCGCAGGGATTTGAGTGCGGAAGAATCTGAGTGCGGAGGGATCTGAGTGCGGAGGGATCTGAGTGCGGAGGGATCTGAGTGCTGATGGATCTGAGTGCAGAGGGATATGAGTGCGGAGGGATCTGAGTGCGGAGGGATCTTAGTGCGGAGGGATCTGAGTGTGGAGGGGTCTGAGTGCAAAGGGATCTAGGTGCGGAGGAATCTGAGTGCGGAGGAATCTGAGTGCGGAGGGATCTGAGTGCGGAGGGATCTGAGTGCGGAGGGATCTAAGTGTGGAGGGATCTGAGTGCAGAGGGATCTGAGCGCAGAGGGATCTGAGTGTAGAGGGATCTGAGTGCGAAGGGATCTGAGTGCAGAAGGATCTGAGTGTAGAGCGATCTGAGTGCAGAAGGATCTGAGTGCGGAGGGATCTGAGTGCGGAGGGATCTGAGTACGGAGGGATCTGAGTGCGGAGGGATCTGAGTGCGGAGGGATTTGAGTGCGGAGGGATTTGAGTGCAGAGGGATCAAAGTGCAGAGGGATCTGAGTGCGGAGGGATCTGAGTGCGGAGGGATCTGAGTGCGGAGGGATCTCAGTGCAGAGGGATCTGAGTGCAGAGGGATCTGAGTGCAGAGGGATCTGAGTGCGGAGGGATTTGAGTGCGGAGGGATCTGAGTGCGGAGGGATCTGAGTGCGGAGGGGTCTGAGTGCGGAGGGATCTGAGTGCAGAGGGATCTGAGTGCGGAGGAATCTGAGTGCGGAGGAATCTGAGTGCGGAGGAATCTGAGTGCGGAGGGATCTGAGTGCGGAGCGATCTGAGTGCGGAGGGATCCGAGTGCGGAGGGATCTGAGTGCGGAGGGATCTGAGTGCAAAGGGATCTGAGTGCAGAGGGATATGAGTGCGGAGGGATCTGAGTGCGGAGGGATCTTAGTGCAGAGGGATCTGAGTGTGGAGGGGTCTGAGTGCAGAGGGATCTAGGTGCGGGGGAATCTGAGTGCGGAGGAATCTGAGTGCGGAGGGATCTGAGTGCGGAGGGATCTGAGTGCGGAGGGATCTGAGTGCGGAGGGATCTGAGTGCAGAGGGATCTAGGTGCGGAGGGATCTGAGTGCAGAGGGATCTGAGTGCGGAGGGATCTGAGTGCAGAGGGATCTGAGTGCAGAGGGATCTGAGTGCAGAGGGATCTGAGTGTAGAGGATCTGAGTGCGGAGGGATCTGAGTGCAGAGGGATCTGAGTGCAGAGGGATCTGAGTGCAGAAGGATCTGAGTGCGGAGGGATCTGAGTGCGGAGGGATCTGAGTACGGAGGGATCTGAGTGCAGAGGGATCTGAGTGCAGAGCGATCTGAGTGCCGAGGGATCTGAGTGCAAAGGGATCTGAGTGCAGAGGGATCTGAGTGCAGAAGGATCTGAGTGCAGAGTGATCTGAGTGCGAAGGGATCTGAGTGCGGAGGAATCTGAGTGCGGAGGGATCTTAGTGCGGAGGGATCTGAGTGCGGAGGAATCTGAGTGCAGAGGGATCTGAGTGCAGAGTGATCTGAGTGCGGAGGAATCTGAGTGCGCAGGGATTTGAGTGCGGAAGAATCTGAGTGCGGAGGGATCTGAGTGCGGAGGGATCTGAGTGCAGAGGGATCTGAGTGCAGAGGGATCTGAGTGCGGAGGGATTTGAGTGCGGAGGGATCTGAGTGCGGAGGGATCTGAGTGCGGAGGGGTCTGAGTGCGGAGGGATCTGAGTGCAGAGGGATCTGAGTGCGGAGGAATCTGAGTGCGGAGGAATCTGAGTGCGGAGGAATCTGAGTGCGGAGGGATCTGAGTGCGGAGGGATCTGAGTGCGGAGGGATCTGAGTGCGGAGGGATCTGAGTGCGGAGGGATCTGAGTGCGGAGAGATCTGAGTGCAGAGGGATCTGAGTGCGGAGGGATCTGAGTGCGGAGGGATCTGAGTGCAGAGGGATATGAGTGCGGAGGGGTCTGAGTGCGGAGGGATCTGAGTACGGAGGGATCTGAGTGCAGAGGGATCTGAGTGCAGAGCGATCTGAGTGCCGAGGGATCTGAGTGCAAAGGGATCTGAGTGCAGAGGGATCTGAGTGCAGAAGGATCTGAGTGCAGAGTGATCTGAGTGCGGAGGGATCTGAGTGCGGAGGAATCTGAGTGCGGAGGGATCTTAGTGCGGAGGGATCTGAGTGCGGAGGAATCTGAGTGCAGAGGGATCTGAGTGAGAGTGATCTGAGTGCGGAGGAATCTGAGTGCGCAGGGATTTGAGTGCGGAAGAATCTGAGTGCGGAGGGATCTGAATGCGGAGGGATCTGAGTGCAGAGGGATCTTAGTGCAGAGGGATCTGAGTGCGAAGGGATTTGAGTGCGGAGGGATCTGAGTGCGGAGGGATCTGAGTGCGGAGGGGTCTGAGTACGGAGGGATCTGAGTGCAGAGGGATCTGAGTGCGGAGGAATCTGAGTGCGGAGGAATCTGAGTGCGGAGGAATCTGAGTGCGGAGGGATCTGAGTGCGGAGGGATCTGAGTGCGGAGGGATCTGAGTGCGGAGGGATCTGAGTGCGGAGGGATCTGAGTGCGGAGAGATCTGAGTGCAGAGGGATCTGAGTGCGGAGGGATCTGAGTGCGGAGGGATCTGAGTGCAGAGGGATCTGAGTGCGGAGGGGTCTGAGTGCAGAGGGATCTGAGTGAAGAGGGATCTGAGTGCGGAGGAATCTGAGTGCGGAGGAATCTGAGTGCGGAGGAATCTGAGTGCGGAGGGATCTGAGTGCGGAGGGATCTGAGTGCGGAGGGATCTGAGTGCGGAGGGATCTGAGTGCGGAGGGGTCTGAGTGCGGAGGGATCTGAGTGCGGAGGGATCTTAGTGCGGAGGGATCTGAGTGTGGAGGGGTCTGAGTGCAGAGGGATCTAGGTGCGGAGGAATCTGAGTGCGGAGGAATCTGAGTGCGGAGGGATCTGAGTGCGGAGGGATCTGAGTGCGGAGGCATCTGAGTGCGGAGGGATCTGAGTGCAGAGGGATCCAGGTGCGGAGGGATCTGAGTGCAGAGGGATCTGAGTGCGGAGGGATCTGAGTGCAGAGGGATCTGAGTGCAGAGGGATCTGAGTGCAGAGGGATCTGAGTGTAGAGGGATCTGAGTGCGGAGGGATCTGAGTGCGGAGGGATCTGAGTGCGGAGGGATCTGAGTGCGGAGGGGTCTGAGTGCGGAGGGATCTGAGTGCGGAGGGATCTTAGTGCGGAGGGATCTGAGTGTGGAGGGGTCTGAGTGCAGAGGGATCTAGGTGCGGAGGAATCTGAGTGCGGAGGAATCTGAGTGCGGAGGGATCTGAGTGCGGAGGGATCTGAGTGCGGAGGCATCTGAGTGCGGAGGGATCTGAGTGCAGAGGGATCCAGGTGCGGAGGGATCTGAGTGCAGAGGGATCTGAGTGCGGAGGGATCTGAGTGCAGAGGGATCTGAGTGCAGAGGGATCTGAGTGCAGAGGGATCTGAGTGTAGAGGGATCTGAGTGCGGAGGGATCTGAGTGCAGAGGGATCTGAGTGCAGAGGGATCTGAGTGCAGAAGGATCTGAGTGCGGAGGGATCTGAGTGCGGAGGGATCTGAGTACGGAGGGATCTGAGTGCAGAGGGATCTGAGTGCAGAGCGATCTGAGTGCAGAGGGAACTGAGTGCAGAAGGATCTGAGTGCAAAGTGATATGAGTGCGGAGGGATCTGAGTGCGGAGGAATCTGAGTGCGGAGGGATCTGGGTGTGGAGGGATCTGAGTGCGGAGGAATCTGAGTGCAGAGGGATCTGAGTGCAGAGTGATCTGAGTGCGGAGGAATCTGAGTGCGCAGGGATTTGAGTGCGGAAGAATCTGAGTGCGGAGGGATCTGAGTGCGGAGGGATCTGAGTGCGGAGGGATCTGAGTGCGGAGGGATCTGAGTGCGGAGGAATCTGAGTACGGAGGGATCTGAGTGCAGAGGGATCTGAGTGCAGAGGGATCTGAGTGCGGAGGGATCTGACTGCAGAGGGATCTGAGTGCAGACGGATCTGAGAGCGGAGGGATCTGAGTGCAGAGGGATCTAAGTGCGGAGGGATCTGAGTGCGAAGGGATCTGAGTGCGGAGGGATCTGGGTGCGGAGGGATCTGAGTGCAGAGGGATCTGAGTGCAGAGGGATCTGAGTGCGGAGGGATCTGAGTGCGGAGGGATCTGAATGCGGAGGGATCTGAGTGCGGAGGGATCTGAGTGCGGAGGGATCTGAGTGCGGAGGGATCTGAGTGCGAAGGGATCTGAGTGCGGAGGGATCTGAGTGCGGAGGGATCTGAGTGCAGAGGGATCTGAGTGCAGAGGGATCTGAGTGCAGAGGGATCTGAGTGCGGAGGGATCTGAGTGCGGAGGGATCTGAGTGCAGAGGGATCTGAGTGCAGAGGGATCTGAGTGCAGAGTGATCTGAGTGCGGAGGGATCTGAGTGCGGAGGGATCTGAGTGCGGAGAGATCTGAGTGCAGAGGGATCTGAGTGCGGAGGGATCTGAGTGCGGAGGGATCTGAGTGCAGAGGGATCTGAGTGCGAAGGGTCTGAGTGCGGAGGGATCTGAGTGCAGAGGGATCTGAGTGCGGAGGATTCTGAGTGCGGAGGGATCTGAGTGCGGAGGATCTGAGTGCGGAGGGATCTGAGTGCGGAGGGATCTGAGTGCGGAGGGATCTGAGTGCGGAGGGATCTGAGTGCGGAGGGATCTGAGTGCAGAGGGATCTGAGTGCGGAGGGATCTGAGTGCGGAGGGATCTGAGTGCAGAGGGATCTGAGTGCGGAGGGATCTGAGTGCGGAGGGATCTGAGTGCAGAGGGATCTGAGTGCGGAGGATCTGAGTGCGGAGGAATCTGAGTGCGGAGGGATCTGAGTGCGGAGGGATCTGAGTGCGGAGGGATCTGAGTGCGGAGGGATCTGAGTGCGGAGGGATCTGAGTGCAGAGGGATCTGAGTGCAGAGGGATCTGAGTGCGGAGGGTCTGAGTGCGGAGGGATCTGAGTGCAGAGGGATCTGAGTGCGGAGGGATCTGAGTGCGGAGGGATCTGAGTGCGGAGGGATCTGAGTGCGGAGGGATCTGAGTGCAGAGGGATCTGAGTGCGGAGGGATCTGAGTGCGGAGGGATCTGAGTGCAGAGGGATCTGAGTGCGGAGGGATCTGAGTGCGGAGGGATCTGAGTGCAGAGGGATCTGAGTGCGGAAGAATCTGAGTGCGGAGGAATCTGAGTGCGGAGGAATCTGAGTGCGGAGGGATCTGAGTGCGGAGGGATCTGAGTGCGGAGGGATCTGAGTGCGGAGGGATCTGAGTGCAGAGGGATCTGAGTGCAGAGGGATCTGAGTGCGGAGGGGTCTGAGTGCGGAGGGATCTGAGTGCAGAGGGATCTGAGTGCGGAGGAATCTGAGTGCGGAGGGATCTGAGTGCGGAGGGATCTGAGTGCGGAGGGATCTGAGTGCGGAGGGATCTGAGTGCGGAGGGTCTGAGTGCGGAGGGATCTGAGTGCGGAGGGATCTGAGTGCAGAGGGATCTGAGTGCGGAGGAATCTGAGTGCGGAGGAATCTGAGTGCGGAGGATCTGAGTGCGGAGGGATCTGAGTGCGGAGGGATCTGAGTGCGGAGGGATCTGAGTGCGGAGGGATCTGAGTGCAGAGGGATCTGAGTGCAGAGGGATCTGAGTGCGGAGGGGTATGAGTGCGGAGGGATCTGAGTGCAGAGGGATCTGAGTGCGGAGGAATCTGAGTGCGGAGGGATCTGAGTGCGGAGGGATCTGAGTGCGGAGGGATCTGAGTGCGGAGGGATCTGAGTGAGGAGGGATCTGAGTGCGGAGGGATCTGAGTGCAGAGGGATCTGAGTGCGGAGGGATCTGAGTGCAGAGGGATCTGAGTGCAGAGGGATCTGAGTGCAGAGGGATCTGAGTGCGGAGGGATCTGAGTGCGGAGGGATCTGAGTGCGGAGGGATCTGAGTGCGAAGGGATCTGAGTGCGGAGGGATCTGAGTGCAGAGGGATCTGAGTGCAGAGGGATCTGAGTGCAGAGGGATCTGAGTGCGGAGGGATCTGAGTGCAGAGGGATCTGAGTGCGGAGGGATCTGAGTGCAGAGGGATCTGAGTGCGGAGGGATCTGAGTGCGAAGGGATCTGAGTGCGGAGGGATCTGAGTGCGGAGGGATCTGAGTGCAGAGGGATCTGAGTGCAGAGGGATCTGAGTGCGGAGGGATCTGAGTGCGGAGGGATCTGAGTGCGGAGGGATCTGAGTGCGGAGGGATCTGAGTGCGGAGGGATCTGAGTGCGAGGGATCTGAGTGCGGAGGGATCTGAGTGCGGAGGGATCTGAGTGCAGAGGGATCTGAGTGCAGAGGGATCTGAGTGCAGAGGGATCTGAGTGCGGAGGGATCTGAGTGCGGAGGGATCTGAGTGCAGAGGGATCTGAGTGCAGAGGGATCTGAGTGCAGAGGGATCTGAGTGCGGAGGGATCTGAGTGCGGAGGGATCTGAGTGCGGAGGGATCTGAGTGCAGAGGGATCTGAGTGCGGAGGGATCTGAGTGCGGAGGGATCTGAGTGCAGAGGGATCTGAGTGCGGAGGGATCTGAGTGCGGAGGGATCTGAGTGCAGAGGGATCTGAGTGCGGAGGAATCTGAGTGCGGAGGATCTGAGTGCGGAGGAATCTGAGTGCGGAGGGATCTGAGTGCGGAGGGATCTGAGTGCGGAGGGATCTGAGTGCGGAGGGATCTGAGTGCGGAGGGATCTGAGTGCGGAGGGATCTGAGTGCAGAGGGATCTGAGTGCGGAGGGATCTGAGTGCGGAGGGATCTGAGTGCAGAGGGATCTGAGTGCGGAATCTGAGTGCGGAGGGATCTGAGTGCAGAGGGATCTGAGTGCGGAGGAATCTGAGTGCGGAGGAATCTGAGTGCGGAGGAATCTGAGTGCGGAGGGATCTGAGTGCAGAGGGATCTGAGTGCGGAGGGATCTGAGTGCGGAGGGATCTGAGTGCAGAGGGATCTGAGTGCAGAGGGATCTGAGTGCGGAGGGATCTGAGTGCGGAGGGATCTGAGTGCAGAGGGATCTGAGTGCGGAGGGATCTGAGTGCGGAGGGATCTGAGTGCGGAGGGATCTGAGTGCGGAGGGATCTGAGTGCAGAGGGATCTGAGTGCGGAGGGATCTGAGTGCGGAGGGATCTGAGTGCAGAGGGATCTGAGTGCGGAGGGATCTGAGTGCGGAGGGATCTGAGTGCAGAGGGATCTGAGTGCGGAGGAATCTGAGTGCGGAGGAATCTGAGTGCGGAGGAATCTGAGTGCGGAGGGATCTGAGTGCGGAGGGATCTGAGTGCGGAGGGATCTGAGTGCGGAGGGATCTGAGTGCGGAGGGATCTGAGTGCGGAGGGATCTGAGTGCAGAGGGATCTGAGTGCGGAGGGATCTGAGTGCAGAGGGATCTGAGTGCGGAGGGATCTGAGTGCAGAGGGATCTGAGTGCAGAGGGATCTGAGGGCGGAGGGATCTGAGTGCGGAGGGATCTGAGTGCGGAGGGATCTGAGTGCAAGGGATCTGAGTGCGGAGGGATCTGAGTGCAGAGGGATCTGAGTGCAGAGGGATCTGAGTGCAGAGGGATCTGAGTGCGGAGGGATCTGAGTGCGGAGGGATCTGAGTGCGGAGGGATCTGAGTGCGGAGGGATCTGAGTGCGGAGGGATCTGAGTGCAGAGGGATCTGAGTGCGGAGGAATCTGAGTGCGGAGGATCTGAGTGCGGAGGAATCTGAGTGCGGAGGGATCTGAGTGCGGAGGGATCTGAGTGCGGAGGGATCTGAGTGCGGAGGGATCTGAGTGCGGAGGGATCTGAGTGCGGAGGGATCTGAGTGCAGAGGGATCTGAGTGCGGAGGGATCTGAGTGCAGAGGGATCTGAGTGCGGAGGGATCTGAGTGCAGAGGGATCTGAGTGCAGAGGGATCTGAGTGCGGAGGGATCTGAGTGCGGAGGGATCTGAGTGCGGAGGGATCTGAGTGCGAAGGGTCTGAGTGCGGAGGGATCTGAGTGCAGAGGGATCTGAGTGCAGAGGGATCTGAGTGCAGAGGGATCTGAGTGCGGAGGGATCTGAGTGCGGAGGGATCTGAGTGCGGAGGGATCTGAGTGCGGAGGGATCTGAGTGCGAAGGGATCTGAGTGCGGAGGGATCTGAGTGCGGAGGGATCTGAGTGCAGAGGGATCTGAGTGCAGAGGGATCTGAGTGCGGAGGGATCTGAGTGCGGAGGGATCTGAGTGCGGAGGGATCTGAGTGCAGAGGGATCTGAGTGCAGAGGGATCTGAGTGCAGAGGGATCTGAGTGCGGAGGGATCTGAGTGCGAAGGGATCTGAGTGCGGAGGGATCTGAGTGCGGAGGGATCTGAGTGCGGAGGGATCTGAGTGCAGAGGGATCTGAGTGCGGAGGGATCTGAGTGCGGAGGGATCTGAGTGCGGAGGAATCTGAGTGCGGAGGGATCTGAGTGCGGAGGGATCTGAGTGCGGAGGGATCTGAGTGCGGAGGGATCTGAGTGCGGAGGGATCTGAGTGCGGAGGGATCTGAGTGCAGAGGGATCTGAGTGCAGAGGGATCTGAGTGCGGAGGGATCTGAGTGCGGAGGGATCTGAGTGCAGAGGGATCTGAGTGCGGAGGGATCTGAGTGCGGAGGGATCTGAGTGCGGAGGGATCTGAGTGCAGAGGGATCTGAGTGCGGAGGGATCTGAGTGCGGAGGGATCTGAGTGCAGAGGGATCTGAGTGCGGAGGATCTGAGTGCGGAGGGATCTGAGTGCAGAGGGATCTGAGTGCGGAGGGATCTGAGTGCGGAGGATCTGAGTGCGGAGGGATCTGAGTGCGGAGGGATCTGAGTGCAGAGGGATCTGAGTGCGGAGGGATCTGAGTGCGGAGGGATCTGAGTGCGGAGGGATCTGAGTGCGGAGGGATCTGAGTGCAGAGGGATCTGAGTGCGGAGGGATCTGAGTGCGGAGGGATCTGAGTGCAGAGGGATCTGAGTGCGGAGGGATCTGAGTGCGGAGGGATCTGAGTGCGGAGGGATCTGAGTGCGAAGGGATCTGAGTGCAGAGGGATCTGAGTGCAGAGGGATCTGAGTGCAGAGGGATCTGAGTGCAGAGGGATCTGAGTGCGGAGGGATCTGAGTGCGGAGGGATCTGAGTGCGGAGGGATCTGAGTGCGGAGGGATCTGAGTGCGAAGGGATCTGAGTGCGGAGGGATCTGAGTGCGGAGGGATCTGAGTGCGGAGGGATCTGAGTGCAGAGGGATCTGAGTGCAGAGGGATCTGAGTGCAGAGGGATCTGAGTGCGGAGGGATCTGAGTGCGGAGGGATCTGAGTGCAGAGGGATCTGAGTGCGGAGGGATCTGAGTGCGGAGGGATCTGAGTGCAGAGGGATCTGAGTGCGGAGGGATCTGAGTGCGGAGGGATCTGAGTGCGGAGGATCTGAGTGCGGAGGGATCTGAGTGCAGAGGGATCTGAGTGCGGAGGGATCTGAGTGCGGAGGGATCTGAGTGCGGAGGGATCTGAGTGCGGAGGGATCTGAGTGCAGAGGGATCTGAGTGCGGAGGGATCTGAGTGCGGAGGGATCTGAGTGCGGAGGGATCTGAGTGCGGAGGGATCTGAGTGCAGAGGGATCTGAGTGCGGAGGGATCTGAGTGCGGAGGGATCTGAGTGCAGAGGGATCTGAGTGCGGAGGGATCTGAGTGCGGAGGGATCTGAGTGCGGAGGGATCTGAGTGCGGAGGGATCTGAGTGCAGAGGGATCTGAGTGCAGAGGGATCTGAGTGCAGAGGGATCTGAGTGCAGAGGGATCTGAGTGCGGAGGGATCTGAGTGCGGAGGGATCTGAGTGCGGAGGGATCTGAGTGCGGAGGGATCTGAGTGCGAGGGATCTGAGTGCGGAGGGATCTGAGTGCGGAGGGATCTGAGTGCAGAGGGATCTGAGTGCAGAGGGATCTGAGTGCAGAGGGATCTGAGTGCAGAGGGATCTGAGTGCGGAGGGATCTGAGTGCGGAGGGATCTGAGTGCAGAGGGATCTGAGTGCGGAGGGATCTGAGTGCGGAGGGATCTGAGTGCAGAGGGATCTGAGTGCGGAGGGATCTGAGTGCGGAGGAATCTGAGTGCGGAGGGATCTGAGTGCGGAGGGATCTGAGTGCAGAGGGATCTGAGTGCGGAGGGATCTGAGTGCGGAGGGATCTGAGTGCGGAGGGATCTGAGTGCGGAGGGATCTGAGTGCAGAGGGATCTGAGTGCGGAGGGATCTGAGTGCAGAGGGATCTGAGTGCAGAGGGATCTGAGTGCGGAGGGATCTGAGTGCGGAGGGATCTGAGTGCGGAGGGATCTGAGTGCGAAGGGATCTGAGTGCAGAGGGATCTGAGTGCAGAGGGATCTGAGTGCGGAGGGATCTGAGTGCGGAGGGATCTGAGTGCGGAGGGATCTGAGTGCAGAGGGATCTGAGTGCGGAGGGATCTGAGTGCAGAGGGATCTGAGTGCAGAGGGATCTGAGTGCGGAGGGATCTGAGTGCGGAGGGATCTGAGTGCGGAGGGATCTGAGTGCGAAGGGATCTGAGTGCAGAGGGATCTGAGTGCAGAGGGATCTGAGTGCAGAGGGATCTGAGTGCAGAGGGATCTGAGTGCGGAGGGATCTGAGTGCGGAGGGATCTGAGTGCGGAGGGATCTGAGTGCGGAGGGATCTGAGTGCGAAGGGATCTGAGTGCGGAGGGATCTGAGTGCGAAGGGATCTGAGTGCGGAGGGATCTGAGTGCGGAGGGATCTGAGTGCAGAGGGATCTGAGTGCAGAGGGATCTGAGTGCGGAGGGATCTGAGTGCGGAGGGATCTGAGTGCGGAGGGATCTGAGTGCAGAGGGATCTGAGTGCAGAGGGATCTGAGTGCAGAGGGATCTGAGTGCGGAGGGATCTGAGTGCGGAGGGATCTGAGTGCGGAGGGATCTGAGTGCGGAGGGATCTGAGTGCGGAGGGATCTGAGTGCAGAGGGATCTGAGTGCGGAGGAATCTGAGTGCGGAGGAATCTGAGTGCGGAGGAATCTGAGTGCGGAGGGATCTGAGTGCGGAGGGATCTGAGTGCGGAGGGATCTGAGTGCGGAGGGATCTGAGTGCGGAGGGATCTGAGTGCGGAGGGATCTGAGTGCAGAGGATCTGAGTGCGGAGGGATCTGAGTGCAGAGGGATCTGAGTGCGGAGGGATCTGAGTGCGGAGGGATCTGAGTGCAGAGGGATCTGAGTGCGGAGGAATCTGAGTGCGGAGGGATCTGAGTGCGGAGGGATCTGAGTGCGGAGGGATCTGAGTGCGGAGGGATCTGAGTGCGGAGGGATCTGAGTGCAGAGGGATCTGAGTGCGGAGGGATCTGAGTGCAGAGGGATCTGAGTGCGGAGGGATCTGAGTGCAGAGGGATCTGAGTGCAGAGGGATCTGAGTGCAGAGGGATCTGAGTGCGGAGGGATCTGAGTGCGGAGGGATCTGAGTGCGGAGGGATCTGAGTGCAGAGGGATATGAGTGCGGAGGGATCTGAGTGCGGAGGGATCTGAGTGCAGAGGGATCTGAGTGCGGAGGGATCTGAGTGCGGAGGATCTGAGTGCGGAGGATCTGAGTGCGGAGGGATCTGAGTGCGGAGGGATCTGAGTGCGGAGGGATCTGAGTGCGGAGGGATCTGAGTGCGGAGGGATCTGAGTGCGGAGGGATCTGAGTGCGGAGGGATCTGAGTGCGAAGGGATCTGAGTGCAGAGGGATCTGAGTGCAGAGGGATCTGAGTGCAGAGGGATCTGAGTGCGGAGGGATCTGAGTGCGGAGGGATCTGAGTGCGGAGGGATCTGAGTGCGGAGGGATCTGAGTGCGGAGGGATCTGAGTGCAGAGGGATCTGAGTGCGGAGGATCTGAGTGCGGAGGATCTGAGTGCGGAGGGATCTGAGTGCGGAGGGATCTGAGTGCGGAGGGATCTGAGTGCGGAGGGATCTGAGTGCAGAGGGATCTGAGTGCGGAGGGATCTGAGTGCAGAGGGATGAGTGCGGAGGGATCTGAGTGCGGAGGGATCTGAGTGCGGAGGGATCTGAGTGTGGAGGGATCTGAGTGCAGAGGGATCTGAGTGCAGAGGGATCTAGGTGCGGAGGGATATGAGTGCAGAGGGATCTGAGTGCGGAGGGATCTGAGTGCGGAGGGATCTGAGTGCGGAGGGATCTGAGTGCGAGGGATCTGAGTGCGGAGGGATCTGAGTGCGGAGGGATCTGAGTGCAGAGGGATCTGAGTGCAGAGGGATCTGAGTGCGGAGGGATCTGAGTGCGGAGGGATCTGAGTGCGGAGGGATCTGAGTGCAGAGGGATCTGAGTGCAGAGGGATCTGAGTGCAGAGGGATCTGAGTGCGGAGGGATCTGAGTGCGGAGGGATCTGAGTGCGGAGGGATCTGAGTGCAGAGGGATCTGAGTGCAGAGGGATCTGAGTGCAGAGGGATCTGAGTGCGGAGGGATCTGAGTGCGGAGGGATCTGAGTGCGGAGGGATCTGAGTGCGGAGGGATCTGAGTGCGGAGGGATCTGAGTGCAGAGGGATCTGAGTGCGGAGGGATCTGAGTGCGGAGGGATCTGAGTGCGGAGGGATCTGAGTGCGGAGGGATCTGAGTGCGGAGGGATCTGAGTGCAGAGGGATCTGAGTGCGGAGGGATCTGAGTGCGAGGGATCTGAGTGCGGAGGGATCTGAGTGCAGAGGGATCTGAGTGCGAAGGATCTGAGTGCAGAGGGATCTGAGTGCGGAGGGATCTGAGTGCGGAGGGATCTGAGTGCAGAGGGATCTGAGTGCGGAGGAATCTGAGTGCGGAGGGATCTGAGTGCGGAGGGATCTGAGTGCGGAGGGATCTGAGTGCGGAGGGATCTGAGTGCGGAGGGATCTGAGTGCAGAGGGATCTGAGTGCGGAGGGATCTGAGTGCAGAGGGATCTGAGTGCGGAGGGATCTGAGTGCAGAGGGATCTGAGTGCAGAGGGATCTGAGTGCAGAGGGATCTGAGTGCGGAGGGATCTGAGTGCGGAGGGATCTGAGTGCGAGAGATCTGAGTGCAGAGGGATCTGAGTGCGGAGGGATCTGAGTGCGGAGGGATCTGAGTGCAGAGGGATCTGAGTGCGGAGGGATCTGAGTGCGGAGGGATCTGAGTGCGGAGGAATCTGAGTGCGGAGGGATCTGAGTGCGGAGGGATCTGAGTGCGGAGGGATCTGAGTGCGGAGGGATCTGAGTGCGGAGGGATCTGAGTGCGGAGGGATCTGAGTGCGGAGGGATCTGAGTGCGAGGGATCTGAGTGCAGAGGGATCTGAGTGCAGAGGGATCTGAGTGCAGAGGGATCTGAGTGCGGAGGGATCTGAGTGCGGAGGGATCTGAGTGCGGAGGGATCTGAGTGCGGAGGGATCTGAGTGCGGAGGGATCTGAGTGCAGAGGGATCTGAGTGCGGAGGGATCTGAGTGCGGAGGAATCTGAGTGCGGAGGAATCTGAGTGCGGAGGGATCTGAGTGCGGAGGGATCTGAGTGCGGAGGGATCTGAGTGCGGAGGGATCTGAGTGCAGAGGGATCTGAGTGCGGAGGGATCTGAGTGCAGAGGGATCTGAGTGCGGAGGGATCTGAGTGCGGAGGGATCTGAGTGCGGAGGGATCTGAGTGCGGAGGGATCTGAGTGCAGAGGGATCTGAGTGCAGAGGGATCTGAGTGCGGAGGGATGAGTGCAGAGGGATCTGAGTGCGGAGGGATCTGAGTGCGGAGGGATCTGAGTGCGGAGGGATCTGAGTGCGGAGGGATCTGAGTGCGAGGGATCTGAGTGCGGAGGGATCTGAGTGCGGAGGGATCTGAGTGCAGAGGGATCTGAGTGCAGAGGGATCTGAGTGCGGAGGGATCTGAGTGCGGAGGGATCTGAGTGCAGAGGGATCTGAGTGCAGAGGGATCTGAGTGCAGAGGGATCTGAGTGCAGAGGGATCTGAGTGCGGAGGGATCTGAGTGCGGAGGGATCTGAGTGCGGAGGGATCTGAGTGCAGAGGGATCTGAGTGCGGAGGAATCTGAGTGCGGAGGAATCTGAGTGCGGAGGAATCTGAGTGCGGAGGGATCTGAGTGCGGAGGGATCTGAGTGCGGAGGGATCTGAGTGCGGAGGGATCTGAGTGCGGAGGGATCTGAGTGCGGAGGGATCTGAGTGCAGAGGGATCTGAGTGCGGAGGGATCTGAGTGCGGAGGGATCTGAGTGCGGAGGGATCTGAGTGTGGAGGGGTCTGAGTGCGAAGGGATCTGAGTGCGGAGGGATCTGAGTGCGGAGGGATCTGAGTGCAGAGGGATCTGAGTGCGGAGGGATCTGAGTGCGAAGGGATCTGAGTGCGGAGGGATCTGAGTGCGGAGGGATCTGAGTGCAGAGGGATCTGAGTGCAGAGGGATCTGAGTGCGGAGGGATCTGAGTGCGGAGGGATCTGAGTGCGGAGGGATCTGAGTGCAGAGGGATCTGAGTGCGGAGGGATCTGAGTGCGGAGGGATCTGAGTGCGGAGGGATCTGAGTGCGGAGGGGTCTGAGTGCGGAGGGATCTGAGTGCAGAGGGATCTGAGTGCGGAGGAATCTGAGTGCGGAGGGATCTGAGTGCGGAGGATCTGAGTGCGGAGGGATCTGAGTGCGGAGGGATCTGAGTGCGGAGGGATCTGAGTGCGGAGGGATCTGAGTGCAGAGGGATCTGAGTGCGGAGGGATCTGAGTGCAGAGGGATCTGAGTGCGGAGGGATCTGAGTGCGGAGGGATCTGAGTGCGGAGGGATCTGAGTGCGGAGGGATCTGAGTGCAGAGGGATCTAGGTGCAGAGGGATCTAGGTGCGGAGGGATCTGAGTGCAGAGGGATCTGAGTGCGGAGGGATCTGAGTGCGGAGGGATCTGAGTGCGGAGGGATCTGAGTGCGGAGGGATCTGAGTGCAGAGGGATCTGAGTGCGGAGGGATCTGAGTGCGGAGGGATCTGAGTGCGGAGGGATCTGAGTGGAGGGGTCTGAGTGCAGAGGGATCTGAGTGCAGAGGGATCTGAGTGCGGAGGGATCTGAGTGCAGAGGGATCTGAGTGCGGAGGGATCTGAGTGCGGAGGGATCTGAGTGCGGAGGGATCTGAGTGCGGAGGATCTGAGTGCAGAGGGATCTGAGTGCGGAGGGATCTGAGTGCGGAGGGATCTGAGTGCGGAGGGATCTGAGTGTGGAGGGATCTGAGTGCAGAGGGATCTGAGTGCGGAGGAATCTGAGTGCGGAGGAATCTGAGTGCGGAGGGATCTGAGTGCGGAGGGATCTGAGTGCGGAGGGATCTGAGTGCTGAGGGATCTGAGTGCAGAGGGATCTAGGTGCGGAGGGATCTGAGTGCAGAGGGATCTGAGTGCGGAGGGATCTGAGTGCAGAGGGATCTGAGTGCAGAGGGATCTGAGTGTAGAGGGATCTGAGTGCGGAGGGATCTGAGTGCAGAGGGATCTGAGTGCAGAGGGATCTGAGTGCGGAGGGATCTGAGTGCAGAGGGATCTGAGTGCAGAGGGATCTGAGTGCGGAGGGATCTGAGTGCAGAGGATCTGAGTGCGGAGGGATCTGAGTGCGGAGGGATCTGAGTGCGGAGGGATCTGAGTGCGGAGGGATCTGAGTGCGGAGGGATCTGAGTGCAGAGGGATCTGAGTGCAGAGGGATCTGAGTGCGGAGGGATCTGAGTGCGGAGGGATCTGAGTGCGGAGGGATCTGAGTGCGGAGGGATCTGAGTGCGGAGGAATCTGAGTGCAGAGGGATCTGAGTGCAGAGGGATCTGAGTGCAGAGGATCTGAGTGCGGAGGGATCTGAGTGCGGAGGGATCTGAGTGCGGAGGATCTGAGTGCAGAGGGATCTGAGTGCGGAGGGATCTGAGTGCGGAGGGATCTGAGTGCAGAGGGATCTGAGTGCAGAGGGCTATGAGTGCGGAGGGATCTGAGTGCGGAGGGATCTGAGTGCGGAGGGATCTGAGTGCGGAGGGGTCTGAGTGCAGAGGGATCTGAGTGCGGAGGGATCTGAGTGCGGAGGAATCTGAGTGCGGAGGGATCTGAGTGCGGAGGGATCTGAGTGCGGAGGGATCTGAGTGCGGAGGGATCTGAGTGCAGAGGGATCTGAGTGCGGAGGGATCTGAGTGCAGAGGGATCTGAGTGCGAAGGGATCTGAGTGCAGAGGGATCTGAGTGCAGAGGGATCTGAGTGCGGAGGGATCTGAGTGCGGAGGGATCTGAGTGCAGAGGGATCTGAGTGCAGAGGATCTGAGTGCGGAGGGATCTGAGTGCAGAGGGATCTGAGTGCAGAGGGATCTGAGTGCGGAGGGATCTGAGTGCAGAGGGATCTGAGTGCGGAGGGATCTGAGTGCAGAGGGATCTGAGTGCGGAGGGATCTGAGTGCGGAGGGATCTGAGTGCAGAGGGATCTGAGTGCAGAGGGATCTGAGTGCGGAGGGATCTGAGTGCGGAGGGATCTGAGTGCGGAGGGATCTGAGTGCGGAGGGATCTGAGTGCGGAGGGATCTGAGTGCGAAGGGATCTGAGTGCGGAGGGATCTGAGTGCGGAGGGATCTGAGTGCAGAGGGATCTGAGTGCGGAGGGATCTGAGTGCAGAGGGATCTGAGTGCGGAGGGATCTGAGTGCGGAGGGATCTGAGTGCGGAGGGATCTGAGTGCGGAGGGATCTGAGTGCAGAGGGATCTGAGTGCAGAGGGATCTGAGTGCGGAGGGATCTGAGTGCAGAGGGATCTGAGTGCGGAGGGATCTGAGTGCGGAGGGATCTGAGTGCGGAGGGATCTGAGTGCGGAGGGATCTGAGTGCAGAGGGATCTGAGTGCGGAGGGATCTGAGTGCAGAGGGATCTGAGTGCGGAGGGATCTGAGTGCGAGGGATCTGAGTGCAGAGGGATCTGAGTGCAGAGGGATCTGAGTGCGGAGGGATCTGAGTGCAGAGGGATCTGAGTGCGGAGGGATCTGAGTGCGGAGGGATCTGAGTGCGGAGGGATCTGAGTGCGGAGGGATCTGAGTGCGAGGGATCTGAGTGCGGAGGGATCTGAGTGCAGAGGGATCTGAGTGGGAGGATCTGAGTGCGGAGGGATCTGAGTGCGGAGGGATCTGAGTGCGGAGGGATCTGAGTGCGGAGGGATCTGAGTGCGAAGGATCTGAGTGCAGAGGGATCTGAGTGCAGAGGGATCTGAGTGCAGAGGGATCTGAGTGCGGAGGGATCTGAGTGCGGAGGGATCTGAGTGCGGAGGGATCTGAGTGCGGAGGGATCTGAGTGCGGAGGGATCTGAGTGCGGAGGGATCTGAGTGCGGAGGGATCTGAGTGCAGAGGGATCTGAGTGCGGAGGGATCTGAGTGCGGAGGGATCTGAGTGCGGAGGATCTGAGTGCGAGGGATCTGAGTGCAGAGGGATTGAGTGCGGAGGGATCTGAGTGCGGAGGATCTGAGTGCGGAGGGATCTGAGTGCGGAGGGATCTGAGTGCAGAGGGATCTGAGTGCGGAGGAATCTGAGTGCGGAGGAATCTGAGTGCGGAGGGATCTGAGTGCGGAGGGATCTGAGTGCGGAGGGATCTGAGTGCGGGGGATCTGAGTGCGGAGGGATCTGAGTGCGGAGGGATCTGAGTGCGAGGGATCTGAGTGCAGAGGGATCTGAGTGCGGAGGGATCTGAGTGCAGAGGGATCTGAGTGCAGAGGGATCTGAGTGCAGAGGGATCTGAGTGCGGAGGGATCTGAGTGCAGAGGGATCTGAGTGCAGAGGGATCTGAGTGCGGAGGGATCTGAGTGCAGAGGGATCTGAGTGCGGAGGGATCTGAGTGCGGAGGGATCTGAGTGCAGAGGGATCTGAGTGCGGAGGGATCTGAGTGCGGAGGGATCTGAGTGCGGAGGGATCTGAGTGCGGAGGGATCTGAGTGCGGAGGGATCTGAGTGCAGAGGATCTGAGTGCAGAGGGATCTGAGTGCGGAGGGATCTGAGTGCGGAGGGATCTGAGTGCGGAGGGATCTGAGTGCGGAGGGATCTGAGTGCGGAGGGATCTGAGTGCGAAGGGATCTGAGTGCGGAGGGATCTGAGTGCGGAGGGATCTGAGTGCAGGAGGGATCTGAGTGCAGAGGGATCTGAGTGCGGAGGATCTGAGTGCGGAGGGATCTGAGTGCGGAGGGATCTGAGTGCAGAGGGATCTGAGTGCGAGGGATCTGAGTGCGGAGGAATCTGAGTGCAGAGGGATCTGAGTGCAGAGGGATCTGAGTGCGAGGGATCTGAGTGCGGAGGGATCTGAGTGCGGAGGGATCTGAGTGCGGAGGATCTGAGTGCAGAGGGATCTGAGTGCGGAGGATCTGAGTGCGGAGGGATCTGAGTGCAGAGGGATCTGAGTGCAGAGGGATATGAGTGCGGAGGGATCTGAGTGCGGAGGGATCTGAGTGCGGAGGGATCTGAGTGCGGAGGGATCTGAGTGCAGAGGGATCTAGAGTGCGGAGGAATCTGAGTGCGGAGGAATCTGAGTGCGGAGGGATCTGAGTGCGGAGGGATCTGAGTGCGGAGGGATCTGAGTGCAGAGGGATCTGAGTGCGGAGGGATCTGAGTGCAGAGGGATCTGAGTGCGGAGGGATCTGAGTGCAGAGGGATCTGAGTGCAGAGGGATCTGAGTGCGAGGGATCTGAGTGCGGAGGGATCTGAGTGCAGAGGGATCTGAGTGCAGAGGGATCTGAGTGCGGAGGGATCTGAGTGCAGAGGGATCTGAGTGCAGAGGGATCTGAGTGCGGAGGGATCTGAGTGCAGAGGGATCTGAGTGCGGAGGGATCTGAGTGCGGAGGATCTGAGTGCGGAGGGATCTGAGTGCGGAGGGATCTGAGTGCGAGGGATCTGAGTGCAGAGGGATCTGAGTGCGGAGGGATCTGAGTGCGGAGGGATCTGAGTGCGGAGGGATCTGAGTGCGGAGGGATCTGAGTGCGGAGGGATCTGAGTGCGAAGGATCTGAGTGCGGAGGGATCTGAGTGCGGAGGGATCTGAGTGCAGAGGGATCTGAGTGCGGAGGGATCTGAGTGCAGAGGGATATGAGTGCGGAGGGATCTGAGTGCGGAGGGATCTTAGTGCGGAGGGATCTGAGTGCGGAGGGATCTGAGTGCAGAGGGATCTGAGTGCAGAGGGATCTGAGTGCGGAGGGATCTGAGTGCAGAGGGATCTGAGTGCGGAGGGATCTGAGTGCGGAGGGATCTGAGTGCGGAGGGATCTGAGTGCGGAGGGATCTGAGTGCAGAGGCTCTGAGTGCGGAGGGATCTGAGTGCGGAGGGATCTGAGTGCGGAGGGATCTGAGTGGGGGGATCTGAGTGCAGGGGATCTGAGTGCAGAGGGATCTGAGTGCGGAGGGATCTGAGTGCGAGGGATCTGAGTGCGGAGGGATCTGAGTGCGGAGGGATCTGAGTGCGGAGGGATCTGAGTGCGGAGGGATCTGAGTGCAGAGGGATCTGAGTGCGGAGGGATCTGAGTGCAGAGGGATCTGAGTGCAGAGGGATCTGAGTGCGGAGGGATCTGAGTGCGGAGGGATCTGAGTGCGGAGGGATCTGAGTGCGAGGGATCTGAGTGCAGAGGGATCTGAGTGCAGAGGGATCTGAGTGCAGAGGGATCTGAGTGCAGAGGGATCTGAGTGCGGAGGGATCTGAGTGCGGAGGGATCTGAGTGCGGAGGGATCTGAGTGCGGAGGGATCTGAGTGCGAAGGGATCTGAGTGCTGAGGGATCTGAGTGCAGAGGGATCTGAGTGCGGAGGATCTGAGTGCGGAGGGATCTGAGTGCGGAGGGATCTGAGTGCGGAGGGATCTGAGTGCGGAGGGATCTGAGTGCGGAGGGATCTGAGTGCAGAGGGATCTGAGTGCGGAGGGATCTGAGTGCAGAGGGATCTGAGTGCGGAGGGATCTGAGTGCGGAGGGATCTGAGTGCGGAGGGATCTGAGTGCGGAGGGATCTGAGTGCAGAGGGATCTGAGTGCAGAGGATCTGAGTGCGGAGGGATCTGAGTGCAGAGGGATCTGAGTGCGGAGGGATCTGAGTGCGGAGGGATCTGAGTGCAGAGGGATCTGAGTGCAGAGGGATCTGAGTGCGGAGGGATCTGAGTGCGGAGGGATCTGAGTGCGGAGGGATCTGAGTGCGGAGGGATCTGAGTGCAGAGGGATCTGAGTGCGGAGGGATCTGAGTGCGGAGGGATCTGAGTGCAGAGGGATCTGAGTGCGAGGGATCTGAGTGCGGAGGGATCTGAGTGCAGAGGGATCTGAGTGCGGAGGAATCTGAGTGCGGAGGGATCTGAGTGCGGAGGGATCTGAGTGTGGAGGGTCTGAGTGCAGAGGGATCTGAGTGCGGAGGAATCTGAGTGCGGAGGATCTGAGTGCGGAGGGATCTGAGTGCGGAGGGATCTGAGTGCGGAGGGATCTGAGTGCGGAGGGATCTGAGTGCAGAGGGATCTGAGTGCGGAGGGATCTGAGTGCAGAGGGATCTGAGTGCGAGGGATCTGAGTGCAGAGGGATCTGAGTGCAGAGGGATCTGAGTGCAGAGGGATCTGAGTGTAGAGGGATCTGAGTGCGGAGGGATCTGAGTGCAGAGGGATCTGAGTGCAGAGGGATCTGAGTGCAGAGGGATCTGAGTGCGGAGGAATCTGAGTGCAGAGGGATCTGAGTGCGGAAGAATCTGAGTGCGGAGGGATCTGAGTGCGGAGGGATCTGAGTGCGGAGGGATCTGAGTGCGGAGGGATCTGAGTGCGGAGGAATCTGAGTGCGGAGGGATCTGAGTGCAGAGGGATCTGAGTGCAGAGGGATCTGAGTGCGGAGGGATCTGAGTGCAGAGGGATCTGAGTGCAGACGGATCTGAGTGCGGAGGGATCTGAGTGCAGAGGGATCTGAGTGCGGAGGGATCTGAGTGCAAAGGGATCTGAGTGCGGAGGGATCTGAGTGCGAGGGATCTGAGTGCAGAGGGATCTGAGTGCAGAGGATCTGAGTGCGGAGGGATCTGAGTGCGGAGGGATCTGAGTGCAGAGGGATCTGAGTGCAGAGGGATCTGAGTGCAGAGGGATCTGAGTGCGGAGGGATCTGAGTGCGGAGGATCTGAGTGCGGAGGGATCTGAGTGCAGAGGGATCTGAGTGCGGAGGGATCTGAGTGCGGAGGGATCTGAGTGCAGAGGGATCTGAGTGCGGAGGGATCTGAGTGCGGAGGGATCTGAGTGCAGAGGGATCTGAGTGCGGAGGAATCTGAGTGCGGAGGGATCTGAGTGCGGAGGGATCTGAGTGCGGAGGGATCTGAGTGCAGAGGGATCTGAGTGCGGAGGGATCTGAGTGCGGAGGAATCTGAGTGCGGAGGGATCTGAGTGCGGAGGGATCTGAGTGCGGAGGGATCTGAGTGCGGAGGGATCTGAGTGCAGAGGGATCTGAGTGCGGAGGGATCTGAGTGCGGAGGGATCTGAGTGCGGAGGGATCTGAGTGCGGAGGGATCTGAGTGCGGAGGGATCTGAGTGCGAGAGGGATCTGAGTGTAGAGGGATCTGAGTGCGGAGGGATCTGAGTGCGAGGGATCTGAGTGCGGAGGGATCTGAGTGCAGAGGGATCTGAGTGCGGAGGAATCTGAGTGCAGAGGGATCTGAGTGCGGAGGATCTGAGTGCGGAGGGATCTGAGTGCGGAGGGATCTGAGTGCGGAGGATCTGAGTGCGGAGGATCTGAGTGCGGAGGAATCTGAGTGCGGAGGGATCTGAGTGCAGAGGATCTGAGTGCAGAGGGATCTGAGTGCGGAGGGATCTGAGTGCAGAGGGATCTGAGTGCAGAGGGATCTGAGTGCGGAGGGATCTGAGTGCAGAGGATCTGAGTGCGGAGGGATCTGAGTGCGGAGGGATCTGAGTGCGGAGGGATCTGAGTGCGGAGGGATCTGAGTGCAGAGGGATCTGAGTGCAGAGGGATCTGAGTGCGGAGGGATCTGAGTGCGGAGGGATCTGAGTGCGGAGGGATCTGAGTGCGGAGGGATCTGAGTGCGGAGGGATCTGAGTGCGGAGGGATCTGAGTGCGGAGGAATCTGAGTGCGGAGGGATCTGAGTGCAGAGGGATCTGAGTGCAGAGGGATCTGAGTGCGGAGGGATCTGAGTGCAGAGGGATCTGAGTGCAGAGGGATCTGAGTGCGGAGGGATCTGAGTGCAGAGGGATCTGAGTGCGGAGGGATCTGAGTGCAGAGGGATCTGAGTGCGGAGGGATCTGAGTGCGGAGGGATCTGAGTGCAGAGGGATCTGAGTGCGGAGGGATCTGAGTGCGGAGGAATCTGAGTGCGGAGGAATCTGAGTGCGGAGGGATCTGAGTGCGAAGGGATCTGAGTGCGGAGGGATCTGAGTGCGGAGGGATCTGAGTGCGGAGGGATCTGAGTGCGGAGGGATCTGAGTGCGAAGGGATCTGAGTGCGGAGGGATCTGAGTGCGGAGGGATCTGAGTGCAGAGGGATCTGAGTGCAGAGGGATCTGAGTGCGGAGGATCTGAGTGCGGAGGGATCTGAGTGCGGAGGATCTGAGTGCGGAGGATCTGAGTGCGGAGGGATCTGAGTGCGGAGGGATCTGAGTGCGAAGGGATCTGAGTGCGGAGGGATCTGAGTGCGGAGGGATCTGAGTGCAGAGGGATCTGAGTGCGGGGGATCTGAGTGCGGAGGGATCTGAGTGCAGAGGGATCTGAGTGCGGAGGGATCTGAGTGCGGAGGGATCTGAGTGCGGAGGAATCTGAGTGCGGAGGGATCTGAGTGCGGAGGGATCTGAGTGCGGAGGGATCTGAGTGCGGAGGGATCTGAGTGCGGAGGGATCTGAGTGCGGAGGGATCTGAGTGCGAAGGGATCTGAGTGCGGAGGGATCTGAGTGCGGAGGGATCTGAGTGCAGAGGGATCTGAGTGCAGAGGGATCTGAGTGCGGAGGGATCTGAGTGCGGAGGGATCTGAGTGCAGAGGGATCTGAGTGCGGAGGGATCTGAGTGCGGAGGGATCTGAGTGCAGAGGGATCTGAGTGCAGAGGGATCTGAGTGCGGAGGGATCTGAGTGCAGAGGGATCTGAGTGCAGAGGGATCTGAGTGCGGAGGGATCTGAGTGCGGAGGGATCTGAGTGCAGAGGGATCTGAGTGCGGAGGGATCTGAGTGCAGAGGGATCTGAGTGCGGAGGATCTGAGTGCGAGGGATCTGAGTGCAGAGGGATCTGAGTGCGGAGGAATCTGAGTGCGGAGGAATCTGAGTGCGGAGGATCTGAGTGCGGAGGGATCTGAGTGCGGAGGGATCTGAGTGCGGAGGGATCTGAGTGCGGAGGGATCTGAGTGCGGAGGGATCTGAGTGCGGAGGGATCTGAGTGCGGAGGGATCTGAGTGCGGAGGGATCTGAGTGCGGAGGGATCTGAGTGCAGAGGGATCTGAGTGCAGAGGGATCTGAGTGCGGAGGGATCTGAGTGCGGAGGGATCTGAGTGCGAGGATCTGAGTGCGGAGGATCTGAGTGCGGAGGGATCTGAGTGCAGAGGGATCTGAGTGCGGAGGGGTCTGAGTGCGGAGGGATCTGAGTGCAGAGGGATCTGAGTGCGGAGGAATCTGAGTGCGGAGAATCTGAGTGCGGAGGGATCTGAGTGCGGAGGGATCTGAGTGCGGAGGGATCTGAGTGCGGAGGGATCTGAGTGCGGAGGGATCTGAGTGCGAGGGATCTGAGTGCGGAGGGATCTGAGTGCAGAGGGATCTGAGTGCGGAGGGATCTGAGTGCAGAGGGATCTGAGTGCGGAGGGATCTGAGTGCAGAGGAATCTGAGTGCAGAGGGATCTGAGTGCGGAGGGATCTGAGTGCGGAGGGATCTGAGTGCGGAGGGATCTGAGTGCGAGGGATCTGAGTGCGGAGGGATCTGAGTGCAGAGGGATCTGAGTGCAGAGGGATCTGAGTGCAGAGGATCTGAGTGCGGAGGGATCTGAGTGCGGAGGATCTGAGTGCAGAGGGATCTGAGTGCAGAGGGATCTGAGTGCGGAGGGATCTGAGTGCGAGGGATCTGAGTGCGGAGGGATCTGAGTGCAGAGGGATCTGAGTGCGAGGGATCTGAGTGCAGAGGGATCTGAGTGCGGAGGGATCTGAGTGCAGAGGGATCTGAGTGCAGAGGGATCTGAGTGCAGAGGGATCTGAGTGCGGAGGATCTGAGTGCAGAGGGATCTGAGTGCGGAGGGATCTGAGTGCGGAGGATCTGAGTGCAGGGATCTGAGTGCGGAGGGATCTGAGTGCGGAGGGATCTGAGTGCAGAGGGATCTGAGTGCGGAGGATCTGAGTGCGGAGGGATCTGAGTGCGGAGGGATCTGAGTGCGGAGGGATCTGAGTGCGAGGGATCTGAGTGCGGAGGGATCTGAGTGCGGAGGGATCTGAGTGCGGAGGGATCTGAGTGCGGAGGGATCTGAGTGCAGGGGATCTGAGTGCGGAGGGATCTGAGTGCAGAGGGATCTGAGTGCGGAGGGATCTGAGTGCAGAGGGATCTGAGTGCGGAGGGATCTGAGTGCGGAGGGATCTGAGTGCAGAGGGATCTGAGTGCGGAGGATCTGAGTGCGGAGGGATCTGAGTGCGGAGGAATCTGAGTGCGGAGGGATCTGAGTGCGGAGGGATCTGAGTGCGGAGGGATCTGAGTGCGGAGGGATCTGAGTGCGGAGGGATCTGAGTGCGAGTTGATCTGAGTGCAGAGGGATCTGAGTGCGGAGGGATCTGAGTGCAGAGGGATCTGAGTGCGGAGGGATCTGAGTGCAGAGGGATCTGAGTGCAGAGGGATCTGAGTGCGGAGGGATCTGAGTGCGGAGGGATCTGAGTGCGGAGGATCTGAGTGCGAAGGGATCTGAGTGCGGAGGGATCTGAGTGCAGAGGGATCTGAGTGCAGAGGGATCTGAGTGCGAGGGATCTGAGTGCGGAGGGATCTGAGTGCGGAGGGATCTGAGTGCGGAGGGATCTGAGTGCGGAGGGATCTGAGTGCGGAGGGATCTGAGTGCGGAGGGATCTGAGTGCGGAGGGATCTGAGTGCAGAGGGATCTGAGTGCAGAGGGATCTGAGTGCGGAGGGATCTGAGTGCAGAGGGATCTGAGTGCGGAGGGATCTGAGTGCAGAGGGATCTGAGTGCAGAGGGATCTGAGTGCAGAGGATCTGAGTGCGGAGGGATCTGAGTGCGGAGGGATCTGAGTGCGGAGGGATCTGAGTGCGGAGGATCTGAGTGCGGAGGATCTGAGTGCGAGGGATCTGAGTGCAGAGGGATCTGAGTGCAGAGGGATCTGAGTGCGGAGGGATCTGAGTGCAGAGGGATCTGAGTGCGGAGGATCTGAGTGCAGAGGGATCTGAGTGCGGAGGATCTGAGTGCAGAGGGATCTGAGTGCGAGGGATCTGAGTGCGGAGGGATCTGAGTGCGGAGGAATCTGAGTGCGGAGGAATCTGAGTGCGAGGAATCTGAGTGCGGAGGGATCTGAGTGCGGAGGGATCTGAGTGCGGAGGGATCTGAGTGCGGAGGGATCTGAGTGCAGAGGGATCTGAGTGCGGAGGGATCTGAGTGCAGAGGGATCTGAGTGCGGAGGGATCTGAGTGCGGAGGGATCTGAGTGCGGAGGGATCTGAGTGCGGAGGGATCTGAGTGCAGAGGGATCTGAGTGCGGAGGGATCTGAGTGCGGGGATCTGAGTGCGGAGGGATCTGAGTGCGGAGGGATCTGAGTGCGGAGGGATCTGAGTGCGGAGGGATCTGAGTGCAGAGGGATCTGAGTGCGGAGGGATCTGAGTGCGGAGGGATCTGAGTGCAGAGGGATCTGAGTGCAGAGGGATCTGAGTGCGGAGGGATCTGAGTGCAGAGGGATCTGAGTGCGGAGGGATCTGAGTGCGGAGGGATCTGAGTGCGGAGGGATCTGAGTGCGGAGGGATCTGAGTGCAGAGGGATCTGAGTGCGGAGGGATCTGAGTGCAGAGGGATCTGAGTGCAGAGGGATCTGAGTGCGGAGGATCTGAGTGCAGAGGGATCTGAGTGCGGAGGGATCTGAGTGCGGAGGAATCTGAGTGCGGAGGGATCTGAGTGCGGAGGGATCTGAGTGCGGAGGATCTGAGTGCGGAGGGATCTGAGTGCAGAGGGATCTGAGTGCGGAGGGATCTGAGTGCAGAGGGATCTGAGTGCAGAGGGATCTGAGTGCGGAGGGATCTGAGTGCGGAGGGATCTGAGTGCGGAGGGATCTGAGTGCGGAGGGATCTGAGTGAGGAGGGAGGGAGCGGAGGGATCTGAGTGCGGAGGGATCTGAGTGCGGAGGGATCTGAGTGCAGAGGGATCTGAGTGCGGAGGGATCTGAGTGCGAGGGATCTGAGTGCAGAGGGATCTGAGTGCAGAGGGATCTGAGTGCAGAGGGATCTGAGTGCAGAGGGATCTGAGTGCAGAGGGATCTGAGTGCAGAGGGATCTGAGTGCAGAGGGATCTGAGTGCGGAGGGATCTGAGTGCGGAGGGATCTGAGTGCGGAGGGATCTGAGTGCAGAGGGATCTGAGTGCAGAGGGATCTGAGTGCGGAGGGATCTGAGTGCAGAGGGATCTGAGTGCAGAGGGATCTGAGTGCAGAGGGATCTGAGTGCAGAGGGATCTGAGTGCGGAGGGATCTGAGTGCGGAGGGATCTGAGTGCGGAGGGATCTGAGTGCGGAGGGATCTGAGTGCGGAGGGATCTGAGTGCAGAGGGATCTGAGTGCAAGGGATCTGAGTGCGGAGGATCTGAGTGCAGAGGGATCTGAGTGCGGAGGGAATCTGAGTGCGGAGGGATCTGAGTGCGGAGGGATCTGAGTGCGGAGGGATCTGAGTGCAGAGGGATCTGAGTGCGGAGGATCTGAGTGCGGAGGAATCTGAGTGCGGAGGGATCTGAGTGCGGAGGGATCTGAGTGCGGAGGGATCTGAGTGCGGAGGGATCTGAGTGCAGAGGGATCTGAGTGCGGAGGGATCTGAGTGCAGGAGGGATCTGAGTGCAGAGGGATCTGAGTGCAGAGGGATCTGAGTGCAGAGGGATCTGAGTGCGGAGGGATCTGAGTGCAGAGGAATCTGAGTGCAGAGGGATCTGAGTGCGGAGGGATCTGAGTGCGGAGGGATCTGAGTGCGGAGGGATCTGAGTGCAGAGGGATCTGAGTGCAGAGGGATCTGAGTGCGGAGGGATCTGAGTGCAGAGGGATCTGAGTGCAGAGGGATCTGAGTGCAGAGGGATCTGAGTGCAGAGTGATCTGTGCGGAGGGATCTGAGTGCGGAGGAATCTGAGTGCGGAGGGATCTGAGTGCAGAGGGATCTGAGTGCGGAGGGATCTGAGTGCAGAGGGATCTGAGTGCAGAGGATCTGAGTGCGGAGGAATCTGAGTGCAGAGGGATCTGAGTGCGGAGGAATCTGAGTGCGGAGGGATCTGAGTGCGGAGGGATCTGAGTGCGGAGGGATCTGAGTGCAGAGGGATCTGAGTGCGGAGGAATCTGAGTGCGGAGGAATCTGAGTGCGGAGGGATCTGAGTGCGGAGGGATCTGAGTGCGGAGGGATCTGAGTGCGGAGGGATCTGAGTGCAGAGGATCTGAGTGCGGAGGGATCTGAGTGCAGAGGGATCTGAGTGCAGAGGGATCTGAGTGCAGAGGGATCTGAGTGCGGAGGGATCTGAGTGCGGAGGGATCTGAGTGCAGAGGGATCTGAGTGCAGAGGGATCTGAGTGCAGAGGGATCTGAGTGCGGAGGGATCTGAGTGCGGAGGGATCTGAGTGCGGAGGGATCTGAGTGCAGAGGGATCTGAGTGCAGAGGGATCTGAGTGCGGAGGGATCTGAGTGCAGAGGGATCTGAGTGCAGAGGGATCTGAGTGCAGAAGGATCTGAGTGCAGAGGGATCTGAGTGCGGAGGGATCTGAGTGCGGAGGATCTGAGTGCGGAGGGATCTGAGTGCGGAGGGATCTGAGTGCGGAGGAATCTGAGTGCAGAGGGATCTGAGTGCGAGGGATCTGAGTGCGGAGGGATCTGAGTGCAGAGGGATCTGAGTGCGGAGGATCTGAGTGCGGAGGGATCTGAGTGCGGAGGGATCTGAGTGCGGAGGGATCTGAGTGCGGAGGATCTGAGTGCGGAGGAATCTGAGTGCGGAGGGATCTGAGTGCAGAGGGATCTGAGTGCAGAGGGATCTGAGTGCGGAGGGATCTGAGTGCAGAGGGATCTGAGTGCAGAGGGATCTGAGTGCGGAGGGATCTGAGTGCAGAGGGATCTGAGTGCGGAGGGATCTGAGTGCAGAGGATCTGAGTGCGGAGGGATCTGAGTGCGAGGGATCTGAGTGCGGAGGGATCTGAGTGCGGAGGATCTGAGTGCGGAGGGATCTGAGTGCAGAGGGATCTGAGTGCAGAGGGATCTGAGTGCGGAGGGATCTGAGTGCAGAGGGATCTGAGTGCAGAGGGATCTGAGTGCGAGGGATCTGAGTGCAGAGGGATCTGAGTGCGGAGGGATCTGAGTGCAGAGGGATCTGAGTGCGAGAGGGATCTGAGTGCGGAGGGATCTGAGTGCGGAGGGATCTGAGTGCGGAGGAATCTGAGTGCGGAGGGATCTGAGTGCAGAGGGATCTGAGTGCGGAGGGATCTGAGTGCGGAGGGATCTGAGTGCAGGGGATCTGAGTGCGGAGGGATCTGAGTGCGGAGGGATCTGAGTGCGGAGGGATCTGAGTGCGGAGGATCTGAGTGCGGAGGGATCTGAGTGCAGAGGGATCTGAGTGCGGAGGGATCTGAGTGCAGAGGGATCTGAGTGCAGAGGGATCTGAGTGCGGAGGGATCTGAGTGCAGAGGGATCTGAGTGCGGAGGGATCTGAGTGCGGAGGAATCTGAGTGCGGAGGGATCTGAGTGCGGAGGGATCTGAGTGCGAAGGGATCTGAGTGCGGAGGGATCTGAGTGCGGAGGATCTGAGTGCGGAGGGATCTGAGTGCGGAGGGATCTGAGTGCGGAGGGATCTGAGTGCGGAGGGATCTGAGTGCGGAGGGATCTGAGTGCAGAGGGATCTGAGTGCAGAGGATCTGAGTGCGGAGGGATCTGAGTGCGGAGGGATCTGAGTGCAGAGGATCTGAGTGCGGAGGGATCTGAGTGCGGAGGGATCTGAGTGCAGAGGGATCTGAGTGCGGAGGGATCTGAGTGCGGAGGGATCTGAGTGCAGAGGGATCTGAGTGCAGAGGGATCTGAGTGCAGAGGGATCTGAGTGCGGAGGGATCTGAGTGCGGAGGGATCTGAGTGCGGAGGGATCTGAGTGCGAGGGATCTGAGTGCGGAGGGATCTGAGTGCGGAGGGATCTGAGTGCGGAGGGATCTGAGTGCGGAGGGATCTGAGTGCGGAGGGATCTGAGTGCAGAGGGATCTGAGTGCGGAGGGATCTGAGTGCAGAGGGATCTGAGTGCGAGGATCTGAGTGCGGAGGGATCTGAGTGCAGAGGGATCTGAGTGCGGAGGGATCTGAGTGCAGAGGGATCTGAGTGCGGAGGGATCTGAGTGCGGAGGGATCTGAGTGCGGAGGAATCTGAGTGCGGAGGAATCTGAGTGCGGAGGAATCTGAGTGCGGAGGGATCTGAGTGCGGAGGGATCTGAGTGCGGAGGGATCTGAGTGCGGAGGGATCTGAGTGCGGAGGGATCTGAGTGCGGAGGAATCTGAGTGCGGAGGGATCTGAGTGCGGAGGAATCTGAGTGCGGAGGGATCTGAGTGCGAAGGATCTGAGTGCGGAGGGATCTGAGTGCGGAGGATCTGAGTGCGGAGGGATCTGAGTGCGGAGGGATCTGAGTGCGGAGGGATCTGAGTGCGGAGGGATCTGAGTGCGGAGGGATCTGAGTGCAGAGGGATCTGAGTGCGGAGGGATCTGAGTGCGGAGGGATCTGAGTGCGGAGGGATCTGAGTGCAGAGGTCTGAGTGCGGAGGGATCTGAGTGCGGAGGGATCTGAGTGCAGAGGGATCTGAGTGCAGAGGGATCTGAGTGCAGAGGGATCTGAGTGCGGAGGGATCTGAGTGCGGAGGGATCTGAGTGCGGAGGGATCTGAGTGCGGAGGGATCTGAGTGCGGAGGGATCTGAGTGCGGAGGGATCTGAGTGCGGAGGGATCTGAGTGCGGAGGGATCTGAGTGCAGAGGGATCTGAGTGCAGAGGATCTGAGTGCGGAGGGATCTGAGTGCAGAGGGATCTGAGTGCAGAGGGATCTGAGTGCGGAGGGATCTGAGTGCAGAGGGATCTGAGTGCAGAGGGATCTGAGTGCGGAGGGATCTGAGTGCGGAGGGATCTGAGTGCGGAGGGATCTGAGTGCGGAGGGATCTGAGTGCGGAGGGATCTGAGTGCAGAGGGATCTGAGTGCGGAGGGAATCTGAGTGCGAGGGATCTGAGTGCGGAGGGATCTGAGTGCGGAGGATCTGAGTGCGGAGGATCTGAGTGCGGAGGGATCTGAGTGCGGAGGGATCTGAGTGCGGAGGGATCTGAGTGCGGAGGGATCTGAGTGCAGAGGGATCTGAGTGCGGAGGGATCTGAGTGCGGAGGGATCTGAGTGCGGAGGGATCTGAGTGCGGAGGGATCTGAGTGCAGAGGGATCTGAGGTGCGGAGGATCTGAGTGCGGAGGGATCTGAGTGCGGAGGGATCTGAGTGCGGAGGGATCTGAGTGCGGAGGGATCTGAGTGCGGAGGGATCTGAGTGCAGAGGGATCTGAGTGCGGAGGATCTGAGTGCAGAGGGATCTGAGTGCGGAGGATCTGAGTGCAGAGGGATCTGAGTGCAGAGGGATCTGAGTGCAGAGGGATCTGAGTGCGAAGGATCTGAGTGCGAGGGATCTGAGTGCGGAGGGATCTGAGTGCGGAGGGATCTGAGTGCGGAGGGATCTGAGTGCAGAGGATCTGAGTGCGAGGGATCTGAGTGCAGAGGGATCTGAGTGCGGAGGGATCTGAGTGCAGAGGGATCTGAGTGCAGGGATCTGAGTGCGGAGGGATCTGAGTGCGGAGAATCTGAGTGCGGGAGAATCTGAGTGCGGAGGGATCTGAGTGCGGAGGAATCTGAGTGCGGAGGGATCTGAGTGCAGAGGGATCTGAGTGCGGAGGGATCTGAGTGCGGAGGGATCTGAGTGCGGAGGAATCTGAGTGCGGAGGGATCTGAGTGCGGAGGGATCTGAGTGCGGAGGGATCTGAGTGCGAGGGATCTGAGTGCGGAGGAATCTGAGTGCGGAGGGATCTGAGTGCGGAGGGATCTGAGTGCAGGGGATCTGAGTGCGGAGGGATCTGAGTGCAGAGGGATCTGAGTGCGGAGGGATCTGAGTGCGGAGGGATCTGAGTGCAGAGGGATCTGAGTGCGGAGGGATCTGAGTGCGAAGGATCTGAGTGCGGAGGGATCTGAGTGCGGAGGGATCTGAGTGCAGAGGGATCTGAGTGCAGAGGGATCTGAGTGCGGAGGGATCTGAGTGCGGAGGGATCTGAGTGCGGAGGGATCTGAGTGCGGAGGGATCTGAGTGCGGAGGATCTGAGTGCGAAGGGATCTGAGTGGGAGGGATCTGAGTGCGGAGGGATCTGAGTGCGGAGGGATCTGAGTGCAGAGGGATCTGAGTGCAGAGGGATCTGAGTGCGGAGGGATCTGAGTGCGAGGGATCTGAGTGCGGAGGGATCTGAGTGCAGAGGGATCTGAGTGCAGAGGGATCTGAGTGCAGAGGATCTGAGTGCGGAGGGATCTGAGTGCGGAGGGATCTGAGTGCGGAGGGATCTGAGTGCAGAGGGATCTGAGTGCGAGGGATCTGAGTGCGGAGGGATCTGAGTGCGGAGGGATCTGAGTGCGGAGGGATCTGAGTGCGAGGGATCTGAGTGCAGAGGAATCTGAGTGCAGAGGAATCTGAGTGCGGAGGAATCTGAGTGCGGAGGAATCTGAGTGCGGAGGGATCTGAGTGCGGAGGATCTGAGTGCGGAGGGATCTGAGTGCGGAGGGATCTGAGTGCAGAGGATCTGAGTGCGGAGGGATCTGAGTGCAGAGGGATCTGAGTGCGGAGGGATCTGAGTGCGGGGGATCTGAGTGCGAGGGATCTGAGTGCAGAGGGATCTGAGTGCGGAGGGATCTGAGTGCGGAGGGATCTGAGTGCGGAGGGATCTGAGTGCGGAGGGATCTGAGTGCGGAGGGATCTGAGTGCGGAGGGATCTGAGTGCAGAGGGATCTGAGTGCAGAGGGATCTGAGTGCGGAGGGATCTGAGTGCGGAGGGATCTGAGTGCGGAGGGATCTGAGTGCAGAGGGATCTGAGTGCAGAGGGATCTGAGTGCGGAGGGATCTGAGTGCGGAGGGATCTGAGTGCGGAGGGATCTGAGTGCGGAGGATCTGAGTGCGGAGGGATCTGAGTGCGAGGGATCTGAGTGCGGAGGGATCTGAGTGCGGAGGGATCTGAGTGCGGAGGGATCTGAGTGCGGAGGATCTGAGTGCAGAGGGATCTGAGTGCGGAGGACGGGAGTGGGGATGGATCTGAGTGCGGAGGGATCTGAGTGCGGAGGGATCTGAGTGCGAAGGGATCTGAGTGCGGAGGGATCTGAGTGCGGAGGGATCTGAGTGCGGAGGGATCTGAGTGCAGAGGGATCTGAGTGCGGAGGGATCTGAGTGCAGAGGGATCTGAGTGCGGAGGGATCTGAGTGCGGAGGATCTGAGTGCGGAGGGATCTGAGTGCGGAGGATCTGAGTGCGAGGATCTGAGTGCAGAGGGATCTGAGTGCAGAGGGATCTGAGTGCGGAGGGATCTGAGTGCAGAGGGATCTGAGTGCAGGAGGGATCTGAGTGCGGAGGGATCTGAGTGCGAGGGATCTGAGTGCGGAGGGATCTGAGTGCGGAGGGATCTGAGTGCGGAGGATCTGAGTGCGGAGGGATCTGAGTGCAGAGGGATCTGAGTGCGGAGGGATCTGAGTGCGGAGGGATCTGAGTGCGGAGGGATCTGAGTGCGGAGGAATCTGAGTGCGGAGGGATCTGAGTGCAGAGGATCTGAGTGCAGAGGATCTGAGTGCGGAGGGATCTGAGTGCGGAGGGATCTGAGTGCGGAGGGATCTGAGTGCAGAGGGATCTGAGTGCGGAGGGATCTGAGTGCGGAGGGATCTGAGTGCGGAGGGATCTGAGTGCGGAGGAATCTGAGTGCGAGGGATCTGAGTGCAGGGATCTGAGTGCAGAGGGATCTGAGTGCGGAGGGATCTGAGTGCAGAGGGATCTGAGTGCAGAGGATCTGAGTGCGGAGGGATCTGAGTGCAGAGGGATCTGAGTGCGAGGGATCTGAGTGCCAGGGATCTGAGTGCGGAGGGATCTGAGTGCGGAGGGATCTGAGTGCAGAGGGATCTGAGTGCAGAGGATCTGAGTGCGGAGGATCTGAGTGCGGAGGAATCTGAGTAGGAGGGATCTGAGTGCAGAGGGATCTGAGTGCAGAGGGATCTGAGTGCGGAGGGATCTGAGTGCGGAGGGATCTGAGTGCGGAGGGATCTGAGTGCAGAGGGATCTGAGTGCGGAGGGATCTGAGTGCGGAGGGATCTGAGTGCGAGGGATCTGAGTGCGGAGGAATCTGAGTGCGGAGGGATCTGAGTGCAGAGGGATCTGAGTGCAGAGGGATCTGAGTGCGGAGGTCTGAGTGCAGAGGGATCTGAGTGCGGAGGGATCTGAGTGCGGAGGGATCTGAGTGCAGAGGGATCTGAGTGCGGAGGGATCTGAGTGCAAGGGATCTGAGTGCGGAGGGATCTGAGTGCGGAGGGATCTGAGTGCAAGGGATCTGAGTGCAGAGGGATCTGAGTGCGGAGGGATCTGAGTGCGGAGGGATCTGAGTGCGGAGGGATCTGAGTGCGGAGGGATCTGAGTGCGGAGGGATCTGAGTGCGGAGGGATCTGAGTGCAGAGGGATCTGAGTGCAGAGGGATCTGAGTGCAGAGGGATCTGAGTGCGGAGGGATCTGAGTGCGGAGGGATCTGAGTGCAGAGGGATCTGAGTGCGGAGGGATCTGAGTGCGGAGGGATCTGAGTGTGGAGGGATCTGAGTGCGGAGGGATCTGAGTGCGGAGGGATCTGAGTGCAGAGGGATCTGAGTGCGGAGGAATCTGAGTGCAGAGGAATCTGAGTGCGGAGGAATCTGAGTGCGGAGGGATCTGAGTGCGGAGGGATCTGAGTGCGGAGGGATCTGAGTGGGAGGGATCTGAGTGCGGAGGGATCTGAGTGCGGAGGGATCTGAGTGCAGAGGGATCTGAGTGCGGAGGGATCTGAGTGCGAGGGATCTGAGTGCGGAGGGATCTGAGTGCGGAGGGATCTGAGTGCGGAGGGATCTGAGTGCAGAGGGATCTGAGTGCGGAGGAATCTGAGTGCAGAGGAATCTGAGTGCGGAGGATCTGAGTGCGGAGGGATCTGAGTGCGGAGGGATCTGAGTGCGGAGGAATCTGAGTGCAGAGGGATCTGAGTGCGGAGGGATCTGAGTGCGGAGGAATCTGAGTGCAGAGGGATCTGAGTGCAGAGGGATCTGAGTGCAGAGGGATCTGAGTGCAGAGGAATCTGAGTGCGGAGGGATCTGAGTGCAGAGGGATCTGAGTGCGGAGGGATCTGAGTGCGGAGGGATCTGAGTGCGAGGGATCTGAGTGCGGAGGGATCTGAGTGCGGAGGGATCTGAGTGCGGAGAAATCTGAGTGCGGAGGGATCTGAGTGCGGAGGGATCTGAGTGCGGAGGGATCTGAGTGCGGAGGAATCTGAGTGCGGAGGAATCTGAGTGCGGAGGGATCTGAGTGCAGAGGGATCTGAGTGAGGAGGGATCTGAGTGGGAGGGATCTGAGTGCGGAGGGATCTGAGTGCGGAGGGATCTGAGTGCAGAGGGATCTGAGTGCGGAGGGATCTGAGTGCGGAGGGATCTTAGTGTGGAGGGATCTGAGTGCGGAGGGGTCTGAGTGCGGAGGGATCTGAGTGCAGAGGATCTGAGTGCGGAGGAATCTGAGTGCAGAGAGGATCTGAGTGCGGAGGATCTGAGTGCGGAGAATCTGTGTGCGGAGGGATCTGAGTGCGGAGGGATCTGAGTGGAAGGGATCTGAGTGCGGAGGGATCTGAGTGCGGAGGGATCTGAGTGCAGAGGGATCTGAGTGCGGAGGGATCTGAGTGCGGAGGGATCTTAGTGTGGAGGGATCTGAGTGTGGAGGGGTCTGAGTGCGGAGGGATCTGAGTGCAGAGGGATCTGAGTGCGGAGGAATCTGAGTGCAGAGGAATCTGAGTGCGGAGGGATCTGAGTGCGGAGGGATCTGAGTGCGGAGGGATCTGAGTGCGGAGGAATCTGAGTGCAGAGGGATCTGAGTGCGGAGGGATCTGAGTGCGGAGGAATCTGAGTGCAGAGGGATCTGAGTGCGAGGGATCTGAGTGCAGAGGGATCTGAGTGCGGAGGGATCTGAGTGCAGAGGGATCTGAGTGCAGACGGATCTGAGTGCAGAGGGATCTGAGTGCAGAGGGATCTAAGTGCGGAGGGATCTGAGTGCGAAGGGATCTGAGTGCGGAGGGATCTGGTGCGGAGGGATCTGAGTGCAGAGGGATCTGAGTGCAGAGGGATCTGAGTGCGGAGGGATCTGAGTGCGGAGGGATCTGAGTGCAGAGGGATCTGAGTGCGGAGGATCTGAGTGCGGAGGGATCTGAGTTCGAAGGGATCTGAGTGCGGAGGGATCTGAGTGCGGAGGGATCTGAGTGCAGAGGGATCTGAGTGCAGAGGGATCTGAGTGCGGAGGGATCTGAGTGCGGAGGGATCTGAGTGCGGAGAGATCTGAGTGCAGAGGGATCTGAGTGCGGAGGGATCTGAGTGCGGAAAGATCTGAGTGCAGAGGGATCTGAGTGCGGAGGGATCTGAGTGCGGAGGGATCTGAGTGCAGAGGGATCTGAGTGCGAAGGGATCTGAGTGCGGAGGGATCTGAGTGCGGAGGGATCTGAGTGCAGAGGGATCTGAGTGCAGAGGGATCTGAGTGCGGAGGGATCTGAGTGCGGAGGGATCTGAGTGCGGAGGGATCTGAGTGCGGAGGGATCTGAGTGCGGAGGGATCTGAGTTCGAAGGGATCTGAGTGCGGAGGGATCTGAGTGCGGAGGGATCTGAGTGCAGAGGGATCTGAGTGCAGAGGGATCTGAGTGCGGAGGGATCTGAGTGCGGAGGGATCTGAGTGCGGAGGAATCTGAGTGCGGAGGGATTTGAGTGCGGAAGAATCTGAGTGCGGAGGGATCTGAGTGCGGAGGGATCTGAGTGCGGAGGGATCTGAGTGCGGAGGGATCTGAGTGCGGAGGAATCTGAGTACGGAGGGATCTGAGTGCAGAGGGATCTGAGTGCAGAGGGATCTGAGTGCGGAGGGATCTGAGTGCGAGGGATCTGAGTGCAGAGGGATCTGAGAGCAGAGGGATCTGAGTGCAGAGGGATCTGAGTGCGGAGGGATCTGAGTGCGGAGGGATCTGAGTGCAGAGGGATCTGAGTGCGGAGGGGTCTGAGTGCGGAGGGATCTGAGTGCAGAGGAATCTGAGTGCAGAGGAATCTGAGTGCGGAGGGATCTGAGTGCGGAGGAATCTGAGTGCGGAGGGATCTGAGTGCGGAGGGATCTGAGTGCGGAGGGATCTGAGTGCGGAGGGATCTGAGTGCGGGGGATCTGAGTGCAGAGGGATCTGAGTGCAGAGGGATATGAGTGCGGAGGGATCTGAGTGCAGAGGGATCTTAGTGCGGAGGAATCTGAGTGCAGAGGGATCTGAGTGCAGAGTGATCTGAGTGCGGAGGAATCTGAGTGCACAGGGATTTGAGTGCGGAAGAATCTGAGTGCGGAGGGATCTGAGTGCGGAGGGATCTGAGTGCGGAGGGATCTGAGTGCGGAGGGATCTGAGTGCGGAGGATCTGAGTACGGAGGGATCTGAGTGCAGAGGGATCTGAGTGCAGAGGGATCTGAGTGCCGAGGGATCTAAGTGCAGAGGGATCTGAGTGCAGACGGATCTGAGAGCGGAGGGATCTGAGTGCTGAGGGATCTGAGTGCGGAGGGATCTGAGTGCGGAGGGATCTGAGTGCGGAGGGATCTGAGTGCGGAGGGATCTGAGTGCAGAGGAATCTGAGTGCAGAGGATCTGAGTGCGGAGGGATCTGAGTGCGGAGGAATCTGAGTGCGGAGGGATCTGAGTTCGGAGGGATCTGAGTGCGGAGGGATCTGAGTGCGGAGGGATCTGAGTGCGGAGGGATCTCAGTGCAGAGGGATCTGAGTGCAGAGGGATATGAGTGCGGAGGGATCTGAGTGCAGAGGGATCTTAGTGCGGAGGGATCTGAGTGTGGAGGGGTCTGAGTGCAGAGGGATCTAGGTGCGGAGGAATCTGAGTGCGGAGGAATCTGAGTGCGGAGGGATCTGAGTGCGGAGGGATCTGAGTGCGGAGGGATCTGAGTGCGGAGGGATCTGAGTGCAGAGGGATCTAGGTGCGGAGGGATCTGAGTGCGGAGGGATCTGAGTGCAGAGGGATCTGAGTGCAGAGGGATCTGAGTGTAGAGGGATCTGAGTGCGGAGGGATCTGAGTGCAGAGGGATCTGAGTGCAGAGGGATCTGAGTGCAGAAGGATCTGAGTGCGGAGGGATCTGAGTGCGGAGGGATCTGAGTACGGAGGGATCTGAGTGCAGAGGGATCTGAGTGCAGAGCGATCTGAGTGCCAAGGGATCTGAGTGCAGAGGGATCTGAGTGCAGAGGGATCTGAGTGCAGAAGGATCTGAGTGCAGAGTGATCTGAGTGCGGAGGGATCTGAGTGCGGAGGAATCTGAGTGCGGAGGGATCTTAGTGCGGAGGGATCTGAGTGCGGAGGAATCTGAGTGCAGAGGGATCTGAGTGCAGAG